TGAGCAAAGCAAACCAGAAGCTGCCACAGCCGGTCATAGTTCACGGTTCATTCACATGGCAGATCCGCTCCTACCCGCAGCCGTATTTAAATTGTGCCATTATGCACTCGAGGACCGGGTTGCTGCCCCTTCCCCTTCGGACCCCTTCGCTAATGACTTTTCACGGCGTCTCTGGCGGCTGCTGGCAGAGGCACAAAAAAAATCAATAGAATGCAAAGGGCCTCTGCATGGGAATCTCGGCTGGCAAAACAAAGGGGGCGGAGGCTATGGGATTGAGTCCATGTAGTCCATAGTAGAGGCTCTGGGACATTGCTGGACAGCGAGTTGGAATTGTAATGGCTTGCAGCCGGCTGTCGTCTGTCGTCTGTTGCATTGTAACACTGGCCGACCGGCTGGCCACAAACAAACGGCAAACAAACAAATAAAGAAACAGCGGCAGGAGGCAGGAGCAGCAGACACACAAACAGAGGAAAAAACAAAATAGAAATAGAAACAAAACTAAAAAATAGGAGGAAAATCAATAAAGCAAAGGCATGAAGCAACAAACAAACAAGCCCAGCGAAAAACCAGCGAAACGGAGATAGAGAGAGCGAGCTAGCGAGAGCCTGAAATGCATAACAAACTGTGAAATGAAAAGCCAGCAACAAAATTGTGCAAGAAATTATATGCATATATACTACATAGAAAACACAGGAGGCGAAAAAAAAAGAAGAAAATTGTCGAGCCGGGGAGGGGGTAAGGCCTCTTGCACTGAAGTGCACATAAAAATCATTTAAAAACAGCAGCCAAGCAGACGGACAGAAGGAGGAGGTACGAAGTAGAAGGCTCTTTCCCAGCTTTCCCTGCTTTTCCCCTAACATTTTCCAGCTGGGGCCCAAGGTAAGACCACGTTGCCGTGATTCGAGGAGAGGCTTTGAGGGGGGAGGAAAAAATTGAGTTCAGCAAAAGGGGATGTACACAAAATGGGTCTAAAGTCATAAACTTTTTCCACATAGCAGCTGATGCCAACACGTTTCGGTTACTGGCAGCTCTTGTTTTTGTTTTCCACCGTAGTTGCTGTTGGGTTGCTCAGTGATTTTTCCTCGCCCATCCCGTCCTAGCCTGACCTGGCCTGGCCCGTTACTATGGTCCTTTGTTTCCTTCTGGCTAACGAGCCGAATATTGGGTTAAGTAAAATATGTACCAAATGGAAAACAAGGCGAAGCTCTGCCCGAGTACCTGAGTGGAAAATGTATATTTTGGAAACCGAAAAAATAATGATGAGTCCAGGGAAACGTAAATTTACCAAGATATGCAGATATTTTTTTTTGCATTTCTGTTTTCTTCTGTTGCGGGTTAGCCAGAAATAACACAAGTGGAAAAGTTCTTAGCTATTTTTAATTATTTTTATCTTGCTCTTGAAGGGCTTCATGTTCTGGCTGCCAATCAAACAATCAACTCCGACCTTTTCCAGCCCCTCGAGTTTGCGTGTCTCAGCGGAAGTTTGGATAAGACTGGTTCACCCTGCCACTGCCACTGCCACTGGTGCACATCAATCATGAAGCAGTCGACCCGCAGCAATAATTTTGAAATGCCAGAACCGCGCTTAAAATGTCACACGCCAATCAAAGCCATGTTTGCCTGCATAAATAAGCATAAAGCGAGCGGGGTAACCCCTTGCTATAAGTATGAATAAAATATGAAGCCAAACAAAATATCATTTCTCAACTTTTGGCAACTTTGGCGTTTTCTTTTGCCATTTTCCCTCGACAATCTCGTCTCAATTTCCAGAGCATATGTGTACGGAATACTGGGGAGAGGGGGAGAAAGTGATTTCTTAATTTGTTACAGGAAAAAACTTTAACCCACCCCCTCTCCGTACAGCCCAGAGACCCCTTTTTTCTGGGTTAAAGTGGCAAGCAGGAAGGAAAGTTTCCTTGAGCCTTGAGAACCCCTACAAAAAAATCGTACGTGACTTTTGTGGAAAATGATGGATCAGCGTGGGTGGGTGTAAAAGTGAAACTTGTGCCGCCTTCTAATTAATGTCAGTAGCAGTAGTGGCAGGAAGTTATTTGCCCGACGGGTTCATATTTTGATGCTTTAACGCCAGATTGCGCATACGCAGCATGTGGAGGCAATTCAAAAATTGCGTATACGCACTGCGGGCAGCTGTTGCAGTTTTGCTGGCCACCCAAAAATACATAATACCCGAGTGAGAGAGCAACAGGAAAGAACGAGAGAGAGAGAGAGAGCGAGAGCTTGCCACGATGACCGAAAATTTAAATAAACCAAAACTCGATGCCGGCAACTACTATTACTACAACTACTACGCATGAGTGTGAGTGTGGTCACTTCCGCTGTGCAACGCATGAAATACGAGCCATTTTTACTACTACACATCAGCCACAGAGGCTGCAACATCAACATGCGACATGTGTGTATGCGGCAATCGATAAATTTTGTGTGTGCAGCGCAGAGGAACAACAACAATAGCCCAGCCACTGCACTATAAGCCAGATATGCCAGATACGAGTGTATATACACCAACATATATAGCGTGTGAGTATCCGCACGAGTATATGCCGGCACAGACAGATTTATAGTTTGTCATGGCGGCAGCGTCCAAAATAGTTGCAGCTTCTCTCCCGCTCACAAGGCAACAATTCCTGCACTTTTCGTTCATAAAATCAATAGGCCGCCCAGCTTCCCTGCTCCCTCTCCCCCTCCCCTTGTTTCTCTCACTGCATTAGCCGGCCGGTCTTGGCTTTGTACATAGGTATTACCTATATATAGTACGTATATACGGGGGGAGTACATAGCATATATAGAGGAATGCACGCAGGACTGCTAATTGCTTGCATGCGAAACGTAACGTAACGAAACGAAAGGAAAGGAAATGGGAGCAAGGATCCAGATGAAAGACGCCAGATGCTCTGGCACAAAAGAAATATAAATAAATGCCATTTGCCCTCAACACAATACGGGGAAAATGTCAAACAATTAAGCGGCAATTAGCAGAAAGCTCAAGAGTGCCAGCAGCATCAGCGAACCAGAAGACCAGAAACGGGGGAGGGCGACATTTGCTGCTACGTGAAAGCGTTGCTAAACGTGTCTTCGGCTTGTCGAAAAGGGGTTGGATGGAAGGCAGCTTGGAGGAATGAAGGAGCAAGGAAGTTGGCCACTCAAGGCAGACGAGGTAGTCAGGAAACAGGATTGCATTATGCCTTATTGATGAGCACAGGTAAAGGACTTGACAAACTCTGAAAAGGACCAAAGTCATATGGAGCTGTTCTTGGGGGTTTCGTAGAAAGGAAGTGCTTAGAAGATGCTTGAAGATTGCTTTTCACTTTCTTATTAAGTTAAATTTTTACTAGACAAACAAATTTAAACAAAGTTAGATATTAAAATTAACAGAATTGGACTATGAAACAGCTTAAGTATTATCTAAAATTAGTTAAGAAAAAGAACTGAATTAATCTTAAACTTTTATTTAAGTAAAAACAAGATTTTTTATAAACAAAGTACCAAACCATAAAGTTATTCTCCAAATCTAAGAAAACATGTGTCATATCTCTTCAAAATTATAAAAATTCCAACACCTCTTCCTCTCAACAAAATAATCACCACTATTTCTGACAAACTCGTTGCCCGAATTAAACTCTCCCAAATAAACCCATTCAATTTCTTGATAAAACACACTTATCTGCCCGTCAAGCCATCAGGAGCTAAGCAAATTTGCATGCAATTTTCTTCTTCACGAGAGGGTAAGAAGCACTTTTCCACATTATACGTGGCTGTCTCGTGGCGAAAAGGCAACAAACTCGTTGCAGTTATTGTTGTTTTTGTTGTTTCTCTCAGATTTTTAGCACGTTGTTGCAATTCAATTTATTTTCAATTTGCGCGCATGCAAGGCGAAATGTTTGGAGGAGGTGGGTTCAAAAATTTGGTAGGGTTAGCATTAACACCTTTTCATTAGACACAATATTATGAAGCGCGATTTTTCCGGGTTTTCATACTTGGCGGATATTTTCGTTGTCTTAATGGGGCCGGCACACGTTGCACTCACAAATACGCATACACTTTTGGCCGGCACTGTATATATAGAAGGTATGTATATATATATATATATATATATATATATATGTGGCACGCACGCTTGCCGCTTCTCTTGTTGCTGTTGCAACGCAAAATTGCGAATTGCGAGTTGCACTTGCGACACTGACAACGACAACGACAACAACTGGCGACAACAACTGCGACGGCGCGCTCTTCGATGTTTTTTGTGTTATTCTTTTTGTTTTTGTACTTTTTTCCTGATAACAGGTCTCTCTCTCTGTCTCTCCCTTACACTTAGCCCTATCTCGCTTGCTCCCAGCACTTACTCGCTAGCCAAAAGGAAAAGGAGCAGACAACAACCGCACGCGAGCAACGTCGAACAGCAACTGAGTCCTGATTGCGCTGTCCCGCAGGATTTTTGTGCAGATGCAGGTTGCCATAGAGGCCATGTGCACCATCCCCACCTGCCAGTGGATGCTGGGGATAGTGCGCAGAATCCAAATCAGAATCGGCATCAACAGGAGCGTAGTAAAGTCGTAGTAAATTGGATTCCATTCGACTTTCATTCACAGAGCAACTCTCTGCATTCTCATGTTCACAATTTTTTCGATCACTGTAGTTAAGGGGAATTTTAAATATTTAGTATTAATGTTTAAATACTAGTATATCAGATGATGTATTTATTTATTGCTTTACAACACTGTGAATCTTACCTAAGGTAAGTTATGTATTTGATTTCATAGAATTATATAAAGGCCCTTGGACAATATGAAACTGATGTCCTAACGGTAGATCAAATAGATAGTTAAAGCTACTTAATAAGTGAAATATGTCATGTCAATCAAACGAACTAGTTCCCTTTTAAGCAAGCTTTTAAATCAATCAAGTTAGCATTGAGTAATTTCTCGATCAAAAACTAGAATTATAAGAAAATTCTCCAAAGGCAGTTGTTGAAAAAACGAAAACAAAAATCCTTTCTAAACCGATTCTGTAATATATTTTTGCGGACTCCAAACTTACTTTCTTTTTTTTCGATAACATGGCGCGTTATAATTTCATGAGTGTCATGGAGGACCTTGCCATGGAGTTTACGGTGGGCAAGGATCAGCACCAGCTTTTTATCTATGACTCGCGAATGCTGTCCCTGGCAATTCAGCAGCAGTTGGTCAAGAACAATGCGGTGTTCAAGAACCTCCTAGTGAACCTCCACAGGACGGGTGAGTAGAGTAATACTCTCATGGCTTTCAGAACCTGATCTAAGATCCTTCAAAGTGTAGCTGCCTATGTCGACAATTTAAGCTTGGACATGCCACTGAACTTCGACATGTTCTTGCCCATCCGACTGCCCCTTCCAGTGGCTCCCAGTTATGATGAGAAGACTCGTTGTGTGAGGTTTACCACGACCAACAATCGGCACCCATTCTTCTTTGGGAATGCGGTGAATTCCAAGTGCATGAATCTTCTGCTTCAAAGGGAACTCAAGGAGGCAGTATCTAAAATAAGGTGTGCGGCATCTGCCTGCTCCGGCCGCGCTTACGACCTTAAATATTCGGTGCTGATCTTCAATCAGGTGCCCTTTGTCCACCAAGTGACGGCCATGGAGCGCGGCAGCAATGGGCAGAGATTTATCCGCTTTGATTTTGTTCTGGCTTTGGAATTTTATGGCGAGGAGATGACTCTGCCACCGTATTTTGATGCTCCTATCGGTAATCGATGGATTGCCTATGGAAAGTTGAACGCCGATGGCGATCCCACTCCGGAGGAGTGGGCCATACTGCTGCCTAAGTGGCAGGACTTGAGCCCAGGAGCTTGCCTTATAGCCCTCAACAGCATGATAATGTTGTTCCGGCTGCTTAAGGCCCAGCAGTGCTACTGCTACGCCGATCCCGCCTCCGTCAAGTTTGCCTTCGTCTTAGCTTCAGAGGAGCGAGGATTGGACTTCCAGCATATGAGCATCGCAGATTTTACTATCACTGTAAGTGGATTAGGGAAATCTTAATGATCTTTATTATAAATATGCCTTTATAGACCCTCTTCCACCAACTGTTTGGCGAAATGTATGATGCGGTGTCCACAAACACCAAGGGGGACAAGACCACCAAGGTCAGTCGTTTGGTGGCCCTTCGGCAGCAGCAGCTGCGTGCCCGTGGTATATACGCCATGCTGGCGGATGCGGCGCTTCGGAATTCGATCACTTACGAGTTTGTCAACGCCTACTTCTGGTACATTCACATCGCACCGCCACCGAAATGCTTCTACAAATCGCTCATCGAAATCCGAAACACCGATACAGTTTTGAAGCGGAAATGGAATACCTCTTAAAGACCTTAAGCCTGCGAAGTTAAATTGACCAAAAACGATGGGTGGTGCTAGCTGGGGAATTACCAACTTCCAAACGGGTGGATAACAACCCTGAGGAGTGGCTTCCCTTGTTGATTTTTTGAAATTTGAGCACTGCTGTAAATTGGTCGAGCAGTTTGTGGGAATCCCCCAATGTGCCCCGCCATCGTCTTAGTGTCAAATCTCGGTAATTGTGCAACTTTAATGCCAAAAAAAAAAAAGAAAACTAAAAACTGTCGGAGTAGAGCTCTCACAGATACAAAACACACTCACACGCACATACACATTCAGCTCACAGGCAATGTACAGGAAAACACAGACAGAGACAAAAGTTAATAAAAGCCAACTAAAAACTAAAGCCGAGTTGGGCTACGTGTCCCTGTTTTGACTTGGGCCCCAGAAAACCACCTCTCTCCCCCTTGTTTATGAGGGGGAAAAAGTTAAATTGCAAATAGCTTGGGCTGGGCTTAGCTCGGGGGCGTGGCAGTCAGAAGAGAGGGCGAGATGGGCGATGGGCGATGTGCGATGGGAGGTGGTAAGAGGGCGACATGAAATTTTAGAAAAATTTGCTGTTATTGTTCAGGCAAAACAAAAGGGGTAAAAGGCTTTCGCAAAGCTGGCAAAATGGGATGGGATCTGAAAATAGGTGGGTCTACTAACGGGGCGGAGTCGCATTAAACAGAAACAGAAAGACACAAAAAAGTTTACCCGAGGAATATTTGGGTACGGTAAGGGGAAAGAGGAGAAGAGCATAAAGTTTTCCAGCGCTTTTGACATTTCATTGTTGTCAACTTTTAACTAGTTTTTTATGTAGTCATTATTTTAAAATGCAAATCGCCTACAACTGGCAACAAAAATACACACACACACACACACACAAACCAGTTTTTGGATGATTGTCCTTTAGAATTGTTTCGATTTAATCTGCTCGAAATCAAATGCCTTTAATTGCATTTGGGAGCTGCAAATTTGTCATATGGCCAAGCAAAGTGGCGAGCAGATTTGCTGCATCCATCGATGAGTTAATCTGGTTAATTCGCCAGCAGTACTTCATTGGGGCAATTGGCAATCGAAAAGTGTTTATTGCATTTTCCACTTTACGTTATTTTAATTGCATTTTCCAGCTCTCTTTTTGCACTTAAAGTTTTTGGTTTATTAAATGCCAATAAATGAACTGCAAGTTCAGATTGCAGATGTATAAGAAATTCATTTACTCTGGCTTCAAATTTAATCTAGGAAAAAGGAAGGAGGTTGTCATAAAAATATATTGAAAGTTGAGCAAATCCCCCTCCATCAGTCACTTAAATTTGTTGGAAAAATATTGCCAAACTTAAATTAAATGGAAATTTAAATTCAAGTGCTTTCATCAGCGTTTCCCTCTTTGTTGGGCTACATCATTTTCCCCCTACAAAGTAGTGAGTGCACAAAAGAAAAGCTCCCGAACGTCAAGTTGGCGATGTTTTTTTTTGGGCGGGGGGAGGTGGCATCTTTAATCAAAAAATAATTATGACTGACAGCGGGGGAGAGGGGCGGCCGGATGGCTAGCTAGTGTGGGTGTGCGTGGGTGGGGGCGGTGTCTGGTAAATTACATTTGAATTATGACAAAAACGAAAACGGAACTCTCCGCCAAAAGTGATGTGCAGCAAATGAGCTAAGCGACGGCCAAGTGAAATTCGAGAGGGGCGGTGGGCGGCTTTCGGAGAGGGGAGTGGCCATTACAACCAGAACAGGCGCAATTTACGCAACAAACAGGACGCTGAATTGAAATTGGACAGACGCGACGAGGATAACCGCAGGACCTCAAGCTGGAGGAGATGGAGTTTGGGATGGGATGATGGGAACCAAAGCGGGAACTGGAGACCGACAAAAGTTTATGTGAAAAACAGACAATTAATTTGTTTTGCAGCGCAAAAGGGACGCCAGGACATCAGGACTCCGGGACACAGGACACCAGCGGAGGGACAAACAATTTCGTGCTTGTTGGCAAAGAAAATTTACGTGCCAAAGACAATTGGGAGCTCCAAGCACTGGCAACAGAAGCCGATTCCCGGATTCATATTCCGAGCTTTGGGGGACAAACAGCAGGGCACGGTGGAAATGGTCAAACATTTTACGCTTTTTGTTTAATTAAAATTGCAACAGGCTACAGCCAAGTCCTTAAAGCAGCAACAGGATGATAGCAAAGCAGAGTTCTGAAAATAACACAGGAAAAAATTAACATATGCAAAATATTTATACACATTTTTAACAACAAAAATATAAAAATTATGTTTTAAATATTCTAAACTAGTTTTATATCACATTTCCTTCAAATTCCTAAGAATAAAAAATTGTTGTACATTTTTATAAGATGATTTAATACTTTTAAAAATAATCAAAATTGTTTCTTGTGCAGCAAAGTCAGCGTTTTTCAATTAAGCTTGCATTTCATTTAATATAGGGGGAAAAACTACAACATTAGTTGGCTGCCCTTTGCCCTTTGCCGGATATTCTCTGTTTGCGTTTGCCCAGTTATCCCCTATTTGCTTTTCCAGCTGCCAAAGGAAATGGCGCTCCCTGCTGGCTTTTGTTTTTCCTGCGAAAAGAAAACCTTTTATAGCGGTTATTAAATTGCTCTTTAAGTGCTAAACTCGAGCCAAACTATTTGCCACAACCCATAACCCACCGAGGTTGTTACCTGTCCTCCAGATCCACATCCAGATCCTCCTCAACGAAATCCGCGTACGTGTTGGCATATCAATTCACGTTACGGACCGAATAACTGCATGCATTCATTTGCGCCAAGGCATCCTGTGCTCATATCAAGCATGATTCGCCCGGGGAGATGGGAGGGTGACATCGCCCTAAGGGTGGACAGGATACGCTTCCATTGGCACTGTCATAACCCGGTGTACAGTGTATCACGTTCCAGTCATTTGGTGGCTGCCACTTCATAATTCAATAAAACAATAAAAGCAAAATCCTTACAAATTACAGCAATCAAATCATACGAGTGTCTCATGGGCATCAGTGATGGCAGTCCTAGAAGTCCCAAATACTGCTATATTTCGGAAAAACTAAATTATTAAATATTGGAAAATATTTATATTTATATAAATTAATCTGTTATGGAAAGAGTCTGACTGAAATATCTCGTAAAACCTTATAGAAACGTATTCTAAGAGATCGCTCATCCAGAAAGCTAAACATCAGGCAAAAAATGCTGAAGCTAAACGAGCACCACTTCCTCACAAATGGAGGGGAATGCGTCCCTAGCATATTTCCATAAATTGGTCACAATTTGCTATTCGCAGCAGCAGCGCAAACAAAAGCCCCAGGAAACCGGGAAAGGACGACGCACACACATAAGCACTAGCCGCGACATGGAAGCCTCCGCTAAAGGATGGGTACAGTCGTCCAAAATTATGACGCCAAGGATAATCGTAGTAAAGCGAGGTGGTCCCTCTCCACCAGGGAATACGTGAGGCAACTCTGCTCGCCTGAGGACGCCACACGAAATGTGACCAACTAGTTTCTCTCGTCTGTTTCTCTATGCAATGCTTTATTCATGCTACAACCGCTATTCATCCCAAAAAAGCATTGGTACGTGTATAAAATGTGAGTTTGACAATTATATTAGCATATGCGTTGATTCTTTACGATCGTTGATCTAAATTTCTAGCCAAGAACTGGGCAAAGGACGATGGCTTTTCTTGGAAAGACCTACATCTTGTATATTGAATGGACATTGGGTCCGTACTGCACCATGGCATCCCTGTGCACCTGGTACTGGATCTCCATATCGCCCAGCTGCAATAGTTCCAATAGCTGCTTGATCTGCCTGCCAATGGACAGAATAGCCTGGACATTGCGTGAGTCCTTGGTCCAAAGTGCTGTTAACAAAAAGAGGACACTATAGTTTCACCCAATCAATATTAAGTGGTCATATACCCACAGAGCTTATTAGCCTTATTGCGCATGTTTATGACAACTCCACATATCTCGTCAGAATATTGGAAACACTCTCCAATCATGCACAAGAGCTAAATAGAGATATGTGTAATACATTGTGTTATATGATATATGTAATGACTTACCAAATCATGCCAGACTTGATCGATGAAGTCCTTGGAAGCCTTATCTAACAGCATAATCCAACGACCACCCTCTTTGTTGTTATCATCCTCCCACATGGGTCTAATATTAATATATATATAATATATTTAGGCGTTTTAAAGAAGTGACCTACTCACTGGATGTTCTCTTTAAACACCATATAGTCATTATATATCTTGAGATCTGATGGCGGCTTGACAAAATAGTAGACACTAAGGATGAGATTTTAATAAAAAGTTAAAGCTTTGTTATTTGTGCAGACCTAAAGAAGTCCTCAACGGTGTTGAAGCTAGTCACATCGCTGAGCATTTCAGTCCAGCTCTTTGACCGATCGTTCTCCCAGTGCCATAGAGTCCAAGTATGCTCCAGTGGATGCTTCAACGCCAAGTCGTAGTCGATGAGGCTCATCATACGGTTCAAAGAGGGCTGTACCTCTTCCTCATCTCCGCTAGTAAGTTCGACTCCATCATAAGCCACCAGGCCTTGTTCCCAATCGAGCTCTTCATATGGAACCCATTCTGCTTTTTTTTATTTTTTGGTAAAAAACTTTATATGAAACTGCTCCGGCTACTCACCAGTTTCCTCAGCATTCTGCAATACGTTGCTTTCGTAACCGGTGTAAACCATTGTTTTTTACTGCATTAATTCGATAAGCGAACTTTTTATGTTTTCCCGTTTTAGTTTTCTAAAAAACTGCTTTACTAGTATGTTGTCTCGTGCAAAGTATAAACGTTAATGAAAATCAACGAGTATTAGCTCGCACTTTGACGAATTGAATTGACAGTATTAGCGTTGCCAGATCGGTTAAGAAAAAGTTAAGCTAAGTAGTGTGAACATCTTTTTTATCAAAATCTTGTTTCGATGTATGTTTTTTTCCTGTATAGACAAAATTTCTTAGATGTGATTATCATCCAGCATGAAAAATCGAATCCAAGTCTTAAGCTTCCATTTTAAGCACTACAATATTGCAACTCCCATTCGTACATTTTGGTTGCAAAATCAAATTGAGTCGGTTAAGTACGGCCCCGAGGGTCTATCAATTGAAATGTCACGCTAATAAAATAAAATGCCACCGAGCATACGATAAATGCACGAAAATAATAAAATGTGACTCAAATGAGCGACGGCGACAGCAGCCACAGACACAAGTTGGCAACCGGAAAGGATCCGATTGGGAACAGAGTGGGGGAATCCACATTTTCTTGTCTGCTGGGGTTGCTCCTTGTGCAACAGTTTGGCCTGCAGTCAATAATCGAAATCGACTTGGGCTTGTGGCAATAAAAATTTGTCTTCGCCGCTTAAGTTGTGCGCCTTGTTGCACACAAGTTTCTGGTCCCTAGTCCTGTGGCAAGTTCACCCTCCATTTTCCACGACCCTTGCGGCGTCGGTGCAGATAATAAAATATGTGAGTCGCTACGTGGCAGCTCCTTTGGCGTTGGTAAAGTAGCTTTGGGCCCTTGTAATGTGCACCATTTGTTGCGCGGCTGGTGGTACGGTGGCTCCAACTCCAAACAAGATGCAGCTCGCCATCTCTAACTCCATCTCCAGCGGCTCGAGTGAGTTATGCTGGCCAAGTTCGGAACAAAAGTGTTGGCACTGCTCCTTGTTCTTAGTTCTCGACGCCAAATAAGTTGCCAGCCCCAATTAACTTTAAAATTCTATTTAATTTTGCTCTTAAGCAGCTTTAGTTTCGGCTCCAACTGGGAAATCCTACTTTTAGACAGGAAATATTACATTAAATCTGTTTTCTTAATTGGAAGAATAAGTTGAGACTCGATGAGTAAGATAATTATACAATTTTTGTGAGGTTACGTTCTCAGCTTTACAAAAATCAATAAAATTAGTGTCTTGTCTTGTGTAATTTATCTATTTAAAGCTAAGATTAAATAAAACTCTACGAACCCATTTAGTCCTTATATTATTTGATATTCCTGTTTATTGCCTGAATGCCATAACTGAGAATTACCTGCTGTTCAAATGGAGTTGCTGGCCCATGAATTCCTGAGAGGAAAAACTTTAATATCAACTCTTTTTGGCTTTCTCCCTAGGTAAGTCCCTGGCAAACGCGTAGCTATGCTTTGTTAGATTTGACTTTGTGAATGCGCTTCTCAGGTGGCACTTTGGCGTATACGCAATATTTTACAGCTTTTTGCACTTTGCTGGCTGAGCTGAAAATACATGGTCAGTAAATCTTTTAAAATATTGTAATGTTGAAAGAGCGTAGAAACTGTGGCGAGGGGATAGCTCACTAGCAGCTTAAGCGCTTTGAGTGCCGGAGCAGTAAAAACGCCCACAAACTACCAAGAAAGGGGCCGGAGGGGAATAGCGCGTAAATGGAGCATTCTACAAGGAGCCGAGGAGGAACCGAGGAGCCCAGGAGACCAGGACCTCATCTTGAGGCAGTTCTGTGCAGACAAGCGCATGCAAGAAATGAAAATGATTTGAGGCATTATGTTCGCTCCGGTTTTACCCCGCTTTTCTGCCCGCCATTTCTGGTTTCACTTCCGTTCGGCTGTCTGTTCTTTTCTTCTTCTTATTTTTTTTGGCTACAAAATTGCTTTGCTCCACCTTCATGTTGATTGTAAAAGATTTCAGTGCTGAGAGCACAAAGCATGCGATGATGTACGGAACGACGCACGTCGTACATTTTGCACCTTGAAGTGGCAAGCGGTGGAGGAACTCCAGCACTCCGGCAAAAAGACAGCCACATAAAACAATAAAAAGCAATGGTAAATGCCAAGGATGGGTAGCGACAACACATCCTGCAACACCTTGAGGGCAACCCAACTGACAGCAGCTTCCGGCAGCCCCCGATCTGCCCCCAACTGCCCCACTGCCACGCCTCCAGTTGCCGTTTGGCCTGCACTCCTACTTCTCACCTGGACAAAAAGATACAGATGTAGGAGGCTAAAGTATGGTTACAGAGCATGTGCAATTTATAGTCATTTTAGATATGTTTGCCCTCCTATTTTTTTAGTAATGGGATTTTTAAATATGTATAAGTTTCGATATATTATCGATTATTATTAAATCACTAATCATGATATACTAAATCTAGACAAGACATAATTAAATAATACTGTAGGTGACTGAAGGCTGCTATTATTTCGACCATAACTGTGTGTATGTGGCTGTTTGTGGTGCTAAATACTTTGGACCAAGACGCCTCTGGGCGCTGGCCACCCCAACTTGGAGCAGGAGCCATAGCTTCTATACCTTTGAAGCCTGGTAGCTTGGGGCCAGGTGAAAGTCATTTCACGCTGTGTGTAGCGCAAAAGATTAAAATAATAGCAGCGCGTAAATTAAACAGCCCGTTGGAGCCGAAGAGTAGGTGCCAGATGGGGATTTTTAAAGGGACTCGAGAAGGGGAAAAAGATGTAAGGATATAGAGCCATTGAAGTGGCAGGACCAGGACCTGCCACATTGCCATTGCCTTCACATTGCTTCATCGCATCCCTTTGTTTAGGGTCTGCGGTCTGCGCTAAGACGCTTACCTGGCACGCCTCATCCCCGTCTGCAATGGGTCCCCACCTCATCACCTGTCCTCGTCCTCCAGGACATTGCCAGCATTGCGTTGTCAGCACTTCATTTTGATCCAACATGCCGCGTGCTTCACTTAATGCGACGACTCCTGGCAGTCCGCATTTTTAAGGGGGTTGGAATGCCATTCTGGGGGTAGAGTTGAGCAGAAAGGGAAAAAGCCCGCTTCTTCATCATGCACATAACTACAAAGGCGGCTGCATTTCTTTGGCGAAAGCAGAAAACTTTCAACAGGCGACAAAAATGAAATTTTTTTGAAGTTTGGGAGTTTGTATCGAAATGGTATTACTTACATGAATAATATAAAAAACTTCCTCATTTTAAATTTGGTAATTTTACCCTATAAGATTCCTCCGGCAAGCAATTAATTACCTTTAGTACGCTTACGTTTACGAAACCTTTGTCGCCTGTCCAGCTGCTGTGCATTACACGTCACGAATGCGTGCGTATTGCGCTCCCTTTAACTACGTAGTGCTATGCGATAGGGAGAGGAATGGATTCAGGGATGAGAGATGGAGATGAGGATGCACTGATGTCCGGGAAGGGTATAGGGAGAGAGGGATCAGGATGCAGGATGAAGTGACGCAGTGATGGTTCGTTGGACTGCTACCTTCGCTGAGTGTTTTGTGGCTTGTCTTTCTTTGCTTCTTTTCGAGATCCTTGCTTAATGTTTTATGTTTGCCAGCTTTCAGCTCTTTGTTCGCCTTCGTGTCCTTAGTGTTCCTCGTCCTGTTTTTGTTATTACTGTTTTTGTTGCTGCTACAGCAAGGTACTTTGCTTTTGTTCGATGAAACGTAAAAATAGCAACAAGCAACGAAAACTCATTTTTAGACAATGCCGCATAATTCCGACGCAATGGAGGCAACGGAAGCAGAAGAGGAAGAAAAGCTAGCAGAATAAGATCCCAACGACTTTTTGTTGTAATGAGGTATTTCCGCTTTGTTGTTGCTGCTCATTTTTGCCTTATCCCCCCTCAATTTCCCCTTTAAAAACTGTAAACAATTTTGATACAATTTTCTGATTTTTTATAAACGAATTAGATTATTGAACAAAAAAGTATACAAAAATTTCTTAGTTCGTTTTCTTACTGATACTTTGAGGTAAGCCCTTGATTGCATTTACATTAATGTGCTCAGTAATTCTCTCAGTGCACATTTGTTGCGTTTTCCGAACAAAAGCAACCACAAGAAGTTTCTCACGGGCTGTCGGATTTTGTAATGAAAGTGGATGCTGGCTATACCGGCCTCATCAGGATTCTATACCCATCTTTCCCTCGCACGCAATCCTTTACCCGGCGATTATTCAAGCGCAAAATTTGCGGTAATCTGCTGGCGGACAGCTTCCAACATATGCAGAAAGTTTTCGCCCAGGGGAGACCACGAACAGGAGTACTGGAACCCAGGAATCACGCACTGCTTAAAACTTTTAACCCTTCTATGTTTGCTCCTGTTTGCCCAAAAAAACACACACATACACAAAGCATCCTGCCCTGTAAAGAAGTTGGGGAAGCCTGTTGCTGGCCAAAATGGTAGAGTGGTTTTTTTGTTGCTGGTCATTTACGGCCATTTAGCCGCATTTAACCAAGTCAACAATAAAGTCAAACATCAGGTCCTTCCTTTTTGCCTTCGTTTTTTTTGGACAAAGTTTTATTTTGGGAAAGGCAACCTTCGGAAACCAATAACTGTGAAACTTTTTAATGCAAACATTGGTCACGGCCTATATGATATTAAACTCCTTACAACCTTAACTTTCTAACATCAACAAAAAGTCAGGAAATAAGAGAAACAGCCTTTAGATGCACTGGAAAATATGAACACCCAATTAAGTACTTACATATTTAAGAAATATTTTTAGAAGAATTTGAATTTGTATTTCAATTATCTCTGCGAGAAATAGGAACTTCTTAACATTAACACACTTTTAGAATCTAACTGAATAGCACATTTCTAAAGTCATCTTTCATATCAAGGCCAGAAATCCCTCTGACCTGAATTCATTAACTAAATGTTCTTACGAATTCAACGAAATCTCTTCACTTAAGTGTTCAGCCGAGCACTTCATATGCCATTTAATAATGATTAAGTACTCGAAAGCAATGGGTCTTTGGGTGGTTGTTGGGTTTTGGATGCCTTGGTGTTGGCAAATGAGTACGGGTAAATGGAGCGCCTTATTCGAATGTCATCAAAATCATCATCACCATGCCGAGCCTCCTCCCCAGCTCAACTGAACTGTTGACGCATTTTGGTTTCAGGCCTTATTAGCGCCGGGAGTTGGCAGGCAAGTCAAGTAAACCCAAGTCGGCCAAGTCGATGGGCCCCTCAAATTGTGTCAGCATCAGGTGTCAATTTTAATTTACTGCTTCCAGCCGGGTTGTCATCTCTGATGTTTGTTTGCCTTGAGGTGGAGATGGTTTTCGGTGCTGAGGGGTTCGGAAATGGGGGCATACGATGCCAACCCATATTTTGGTGGCTTGCGGTTGATGCGGTAATTTCGGTTTTGCAGGCTTCTAGGATATATCCGAAAACTCATTGAAGCTTGCGGCTCGAGACCAACAGTTTCATCACAAATGAAAGAGGTTTTCAGCCATCCTCATTTATATGCAGCCCCATTCAGCAGCCTCGACATATAGCAATAATTGAACGCTTAGCTCAAATGGCCGCAAAAAACCGCTCGCTAATGGAGTATTTTAAATATGCGGCGGCCGACGTTGCGCATGCTAATCCATAAAAACCTATTCTGGAATGACATACAGGTCTACGGCGATTTTGAAGTCAGATGATTTGAATATCTTCTGATATTTACGGAGTTTCTAGAGTTTCTAGAATATTTAAAACATACAAAACGAGGATCAAATAATTATTAACCTTAAAAACTAATCTACAAAAATAATAGTATCACATAATTTTACAGCAAATATTTTGCGTCCGAATCCTCTCAATAATAAAAAACAATATTTAGTAGATTCTTAGAGTTTTAATTCATCACAAGTTGGGGTCTATGGAAAATAAAAGCCAAACCATGAGCCAAGCTCACGGGGCAATATTTTCCAGAGTGTTCACATGTTGATTTACTTCTTCAGCAGCAGAGGAGCGGCAGCAGCGGCAACGTAGGGACGGGCCACATAGGGCGAGCTGTAAGCCAGAGGGGCGGTGTAGGCAGCGGCGTAAGGTGCGACATAGGGGGCAGCGAAGCGGGTGTAGGGAGCGGTGTAAGCAGCAGCCAGAGGAGCAGCAATAGGAGCAGTATAGGCGGCGGTGTAGGCAGGGAACGCGGCGCTGTGGGCCACAGTGTTGGCGGTGTAGCTGGATGCGTAGGGAGCCACGTAGGCGGCACTGCCCACCACAGCCGGAGCGGTATAAGCCAGAGGAGCGGCGGCCAGAGGAGCCACGATTCCGGGCTTGGCAGCAGCCATAGCCACAACAGCGAAGAAGATAGCAGCCTAAATTTAAATTATGTGATTAGTAATTAGATATTATGAAAAGCTATTCTTAGTTCTATTAAACTTACGAATTTGAACATCTTGAATTTAGTTTGTTTTTGGATTGTCACTTGGTGGATGGCCAATGGGTTTGTGATGTCCAACAGAGAGTTCCACGGCTCTTTTATAGCCACTTACACTTTCCGAGCTGCTTGGCAATGCAGATCACGCTCTTAGATCAGCCATCGATGGCTGCCAAGTCAACGACTTTCGATTGACGTTGCGCATGCGCAATTCTTGGCCGGATCGCTACTGTTTTTTTAGTTGTCGTGGTCTAGACCTGACCATGTCTTATTTTTGGTGCGTGCCTGAGCGTCCGTTACTTCGAATCGTTTGGCGATTTGTCCCTGACCTTGGCGGCTGCAATGCATTTACAATTTAATGGATCTAGCGGGTTAAACCGCCACCGAAAAAGAGGTAGCTTAAATGGTGTGATTTATGAGTGTTATTCCAGCGCGTCATCAGGAAATTATCAAGTTATTCCGCCCCATTACTGTCTGGCCATATATTAATAGACCACAATAAATCCGGCTAATCACTACCTAATAATCCACACTCACCGCTGTCAGAAATTAATTAATAAATGTCGCAAATTGCGGGCAAAGAGCTTAAAATTCACTAATTAGAAATATCGAGTGTAGGCTGCCGTGTGTGGTAAAGCACACGGCAGAAGGATGCATCCGACACAAAACCACCCATTTCCACATACTCCACATGGAAGGCTTTTCAGGAACATACGAATACATACCATATATATCCTGATACTCCTGCAGTGGCAGTCTCACACTTGAAAAAGTGTTGAAGCGTGAATTTTGCTTAAAAATGCCAATTACGCGATTTCAGCAATGCTATGGATTGGGTGGTGGTGGCGATAAAGTTGCCAGGAAAGGGATTGCAAGAATCTCTGCTCAAAAGGGAGGCGCATTCTAGGGTATGCGGCAAAGGTACACGTAAAAAAAATTGGTGACAGATTAAAGAAACATTTACTATGGGGGTATTTCATATTTCAATAGGTTAATTTCAGCAAAGTTTTTGAATTTCTTGCAAATAAGCATTTCCCCCAAGATCAGTCATTTCAAACAGTGATATTTTTAGGGAACTAAAGTCTTGGTAACCTTTTCTCCGAGTACAACAAATTGTTGCCAGTTCTCCTTCTGGTTTGCTTTCCACCGAATGTCGATGATGATGTTGCTGGCGAAGGATTTGGCGCGCATCCTGCCGCTTCCTTCGCTCCTTTTGTGCACCTCAAGTGTTTGCCATGTGCCTGTGCATACGAGCCAGCCTATTGCCAATGTGGATGCAGTCCTTGGTGGATGTGGACGTGTATGTGGGTGTCTACTAAATGCACAATCATGCAGCCGGGAACGGGAGAGCCACGTCGAATTGAAAACTGCTCTGCAGGCAACCGCAGGCGGCAAACATATTTGTTTTGACACTTGACTTCCCTTCTGGCCACCAGGCTGCTGCTTTCATTGTCAAGTTTGTGGCAAGGACTTGCTACTGAAATTATTATATTGGTTAATCCGCCTAAAAGCTTTGATGGCACTTCTGCCGCCGCCCCTCATACCCTCTCTCTCTTTAAGCCATTTCAAGTGCAGCGCCCGCAACTCTCGAGTGGCCCAAACGGGGGACCATATCAAAGAGCAATCCCCCGGGAGCCGGGGGATGATGTATATGTATCCACGAGTGCCAGCAAGTAATTAAAAAGCAAGAAATTTCCACAAAAAGTCGCGCACAAAAATTCGCTCCGTTTGACAGGGACAAAGCTCGGGACGAGGACTTCGAAGCCAAAAGAAGTGAGCAAACACCGTTACTCGACATTGATGATATCCTTTTCTTTCATAAATAATGTGGGAATAAGTTGGCATCTCTATTCGAAGTCACAGATTGGGTGTGCCCAGATCAGTGGTCAGAAAGAATATCAGCGCGAAGAAATGAGTAGATCTATTCGAGAAGCTTCAAATAGAACGAGAAAGCGATAAGACGTAAGAAACAACAACGCGAGCGATCACCGCGGGAATATTTTATACAAAAATATAGTTTAAAATAACGAAAGTGTAAAAAACATGTAAATATATATCTTTTTTTAAATTTTACAAACCTATTACCAATCTACCCTGAAAACATTTGTTGATGCAGGGCAGCATCAAGGAACTTTGAACAAGTTGCGTGAAATATTCGCGGCACTTTTCCTTTTTTCCCTGCCCATTCCCAGACTGAGTTGCTGGCCCAAGTTGAGTTTATTGCCGTAATAAAGGCGCAACTGCCTCTGACTTGGCCGGGGTTATGTCTGCATCAGGATCAGGATCTGAGAGGGCGGTGGCTATGCGACAAGGAAGGCGGAGGGGGCAGCAGCAGCTGTGCGTGCGCGTTAATGCGTCGTTTAAGTGCCGTAAAAAGCGAACGGCACACATGACACCCACATCCCATCTCGCAAAAGGCCTAAGCCGTATCCATATCCATGGGCCCTCATCAAGATGAAGTCTATTAAAAAATTTCTGGTTTGAATTCGTCTAGAAAATTCCAGCGACATTTGGAACCAGCAAAAGAAGGGGCGGCTGCCTTTAAGTGGTTTCCACAAATTATTCATAGGAACAAAGCAGTTTCTGCTGGGGGAAAGAAGAAAGAAAGAATGTGGGGAACCTCCGAAAAGATTGCTAAGGGTGGCTAAAAGTTTTATCGAACTTTGAGTGTTTTTCGGATTCAAATTAAAATATTTAGCTTTTATCGAACTTTGAATGCAGAATTTCAATTCAGTTTCTTAACTTTGGTAAACTTTTGTTTTGGAATAAAAAAAGAACAAAAATGTAGAAATTAAATGTAAACCGATATCAGATCATTCATGTAAAAGCCCAATAAATTTTGTATGTACAAAATTAAATACATGTTAGAAGTAAATCATTTAAGAAGATTAAATTAAGAAGTCACAACCTTTATTTACCACCACTACCCTATTTCATCATCAAAATCAAGGAAATTCCTGCATAACTCTTCATTTCCCGAATAATTGAGGTATCCATCAAAATCATCAGACATTTGAATGGCCTCCTCCTCAAGTGGGATTCTGCGATCATAATTGGTTTACGGCCTTTGTTCCGCGTTGTGGGCTGACGCATTTCAATTACTCAGCCACCGGTTACAAAGTCAAATCGAATTAGGCCCGGCACGTGCCAAGTGTGCGTGTGCACCAACAATGGATAGGATAGGTTCGGATCGGATTGGCTTGGCATAACCTGGCTTGGCCCACTAAACTGGAACGGAGTCAAAGACTTTGAGCTGCGATGTCAGCGATGCCAGCTGCATGGGTAAACGCGGCCTTCGCTTTCTAGTAGCAGGCTACTATATAAACTGGCCAGTTCGATCAACTAAACATCAAATCAAGCTCACAGCTCTAAGTAGTCACAACTACCAAACAAAAAACCAATCAACATGAAATTCGTAAGTGCTTGGAAGACTGAAGATTTTAAGGATTAATTAATTAGAATATATTTTAATCCATAGTTCGCCGTCTGCTTCTTCGCTGTTGTGGCTGTGGCTGCTGCTAAGCCAGGAATCGTGGCTCCTCTGGCCGCCGCTCCTCTGGCTTATACCGCTCCGGCTGTGGTGGGCAGTGCCGCCTACGTGGCTCCCTACGCCTCCAGCTACACCGCCAACACTGTAGCCCACAGCGCTGCTTTCCCCGCCGCCTACACCGCTCCAATTGCTGCTGCCTACACCGCTCCCATCGCCGCGCCCGTTGCTGCCGCTTACACCGCTCCGGTTGCCGCTGCTTACGCCGCCCCTGCTGCCTACACCGCTGCCTATACCGCTCCCGTGGCTGCAGCCTACACTGCCCCCATTGCCCGTTATGCCGCCGCCACCCCCTTCGCTGCTCCCATCGCCGCCCCAGTAGCAGCCGCCTACACCGCCCCTATCGCCGCAGCCGCTGCCCCCGTCCTCCTCAGGAAGTAAGCAGTCCGTCTACGAATCCCATCTTGACCGATTTGTGTAAATAAAGAAATGTATATACCACGAATCCAAGCATTTGTTTTCTTTATGAAATTAATTTTTTATATAATACTATTATTATTTAACTTAAAGTTATCAATAATTGGTTTATAAACCCATTTGTTTGTTCCACAATCTACACTCTACTTTAGGTTAGGATAATCACCTATTTATGGGAGTGTTTTCTTGTTTAGCCATATAAAATGTAGTTAGTGTACAATTTCCCCATCCCGCTATGCAATATTCCCTAACAAAATGAACTCCTTTGGCTTTGGGCAGCGATGGAGAGCAATTTGTACTTCGCGTTTTCCACTCGGTTCAGTTCAGCTTAGTTCTTATCGAAAGCCAGGCATCTGGCGACCCCCTTTTCCCGGTTTTCCCGCTTTTCCACATTTTCCTTTCCATCGGCACCTAGGCGGCAAGTCTGCGCTTTGCCTTGGCCAGGATTAAACTTTCCATTTAAAAGGATTTCTTTTCTATATGAAATATGCTTCCTTTCAGCGCTTCCTGCGCTTTCCCTCCAAGCAATTTTTTTTTTATTTTGCCCCATCCGCAGCCAGCGGCTCCAGTCAAGTTTTCTGCTTGACTTTGTCCTGCGCGTTGAAAGGGCCGAGTGGAGCCTTCTGCCCCTCGGCAGTATCCTGCTGCTCCTTATCATAACTTTGGCATCGCCCCCCATTCTCCGCTCAGGTGGTAAATGCCAAGTAGTTGTAAAGTTTTGCTACCTAAGCGGAAAAGGCTAGTAAAATCCACGCAGGGAAAACTCAGCTGAGAGGGGGGCAAATGGCTGCTCCATTTTCGCAAGTTCTCGGAACAGATAGCGTCCAAATTTAATGACCTTTTATTCAATGAAACTGCGTTGAGCTCGGATAACTTTTTTACCTCTCCATGTTGAATATTACTCGTTGTCGTCCTATCCCGTTTGTCATCCCTTTTTTATATATAAATATATTTTTCCAGGTTTTTGTTGCCCAAAAGTTGTCAAAGGTAAGCGACAATATGATAAGCAGGAGGGCAAGTTTGTTGAAAGGATTTTGTTCGCTTAATGAGGGAAACTTTTTTTTTGATTTCGAATAATAACCAAATATGGTAAAACATGCTTTTAGTTTGAATATAAATCAAATGATATATATCTTCATTAAATGTGTTAAATCGAACAATTATTGTGGATTAAAAGTACTTAAGCCCTGTCCCATCTTTACTACACTCGTTAACCTTTTGCAATACCCTTTTGACTTTGACACAAATTGTAAAATTAATCTACACCACTAGCTTCCCTGAAACTTAATCGTTTGTAAACTAGCCAAGCTTTACCCTTCGTTAATTCGCTGGCAAAATAAAAACGTAACTATTTTGATTGCCAGCGCTGTGGCAACGGCAATTGGCAACCAATGTTTGTATGGCAACTGGCGAAGCAATAAAACCGAGCAAATGAAATTTGTATTCACTTTATATAATTTTGACGATTTTTCAAATCAAATACACACTCAGACACACACACACAGAGACCGCACTCATACATATATATAAGTTGGTTGGTACGTACATATGTTAGAAAGATTCCCTTTTTCGAAACGAACACAATCATGTGCAAACGTGTTTTTCAAATGGATTACATGAATAAAAGATTTATACACGTAAGGTAAATCAATAGCGGGTTACCAAGATACTCACCGACATCCTGCCCTGCCCGGATTACCCATGACTCCTACTCCACCTCCATCTTCTTCCCCCATCCACGACAACAACAACTCCCTATTCCCAACTGAAGACGTGCAAGTGAAAATATGCGCAGATGTAAGCAAATTTGAGGAACGAGCAGGGGGACTGTAGAAGGAAAAGTGCTGGCGAAGAGAAAACCCAAATGGAAAATCCCACAGAACCCGGCTGAAGGTAGATGATGCCTCTTGCCATTTATTGATTTGTTTATCATTTTATGTATTTATGCCGCTTTGATTTCAGGCGCCAAATCGAATCAAGCGCGAGGGAAAATAAAGCATTACCAACAGGATTATTCCGAGCACACGCAAACAGGGCAGAACCATTAAAATATTCACACTGAGGGCTTCCAAGTTTATATTCTTTTTGGTTTTTAATTTCTTAAAGTTCTTGAATCTTTTAGTTAGCTTTTAGCAATACCAATTTATATACATATTTTAAAGGTACTTTTATAAACAATATTTTATAAAATTCTATAAAACACTCCAAAATAAGACATTTACAAGAACTATTATGAAAAGACTCTATATAGTTATTTTACACTGCATATCTCTACATCCTGTAGGCATACGTACTTATTCACTGAATATTAAAGTTGGCCAAGACCATGGCTAACAGGCCATGGTTGGATTCATCGCCTTAGATATGTGTAGTAGGGATACGTGGCGTATGCGCCATATACCGGTGCATACGCATAGGCCGCGTAGGTCGGATAGCTGGCATAGGCTGGATAGTAGGCGGAGGTAGGAGCCAGCCAAGCCCCTCCCGCTCCGGTGGCATAACTCACTGGTGTCGTGACCAGCAGCTGGGGCTTCGCCTGGCTCAGGACCGCGAGCAATGCGAGCTGCCAGGATTATTGATACGTTTGAAATATCCACACATATACATAGTATATATATCCGGTCGTAGTTCAGTCACACTCACCATTAAGACCTTGACCAACATGGTTCCCTTTCGATTACTGCTCCTCCGGCTGGCTTTACGAATGAAATTCAAAATTTTACTGCTCGATTGGTCCGGTTAGTCAATCATATTTATAGCCTTTGGCTGGATGGCATGGGACATTGCGAAGAGAATCACCGAGAATCGGGGAGAGAGCCGGAGAAGTTGTGCCATCATTAATATTGCTAGACCTGAGCGCGCTGAGTGGCATAAATTATATTCTTAATGCTATTTGAAATCGCTGGGAAGGAATAAATATCTAAGACAACGACCATTAATAAAACTCAAATTGATGAAATTCAGAATACTCTATGGGTCATAAAAAGATTATTAAAATGTGATTAAGACAACAAAAATGGTGAGTCTGAAAGTTTTTGTCAAAAAGTAACCCTTATTTAAGCGATAATAAATAATATTTTGATCCACTTAATTTGTTTTATTAGTAATGCGAAAAATGTTAATTTCTTAATTTAAATTCTCCGTCGAACTGTGTACCAGGCTCAAAAAGTACTTTTTTTGAGATTTTTCGTTAAATTTTATGATGATTAACACATACAAAAAATGCGAAAATAGGCCTTTCCCGAAGCCTTCTTCATTACAAAGCCACAAATTATCATATCATGGAATGTTATACCTCGTTAAATTCGTATTTAAATTCCCCGTCGAACAGTGTACCACACTCAAAAAGTGATTTTTTCAGATTTTTCGAAAAATTTTATGATGTTACCCCTTTCCAAAAATGCGAAAATCGCTCTGTCCCGATTTGAGTCTCAAAATATCAGTATTTTCCTCATTACAAAACCAAAGATGATCGTATCATGGAATGTTATACCTCGTTAAATTCGTATTTAAATTCCCCGTCGAACAGTGTACCACACTCAAAAAGTGATTTTTTTCAGATTTTTCGTAAAATTTTATGATGTTACCCCTTTCCAAAAATGCGAAAATCGGTCTGTCCCGACTTGAGTCTCAAAATATCAGTATTTTCCTCATAACAAAACCAAAGATGATCGTATCATGGAATGTTATATCTTGTTGAGTTCGTATTTAAATTCCCCGTCGAACTGTGTACCACACACAAAAAGTGATTTTTTTCAGATTTTTCGTAAAATTTTATGATGTTACCCCTTTCCAAAAATGCGAAAATCGCTCTGTCCCGACTTGAGTCTCAAAATATCAGTATTTTCCTCATTACACCGCCAAAGATGATCGTATCATGGAATGTTATATCTTGTTGAGTTCGTATTTAAATTCCCCGTCGAACTGTGTACCACACCCAAAAAGTGAATTTTTTCAGATTTTTCGTAAAATTTTATGATGTTACTCGTTTTCAAAAATGCGAAAATCGGTCTGTCCCGATTTGTGTCTCAAAATATCAGTATTTTCCTCATTACACCGCCAAAGATGATCGTATCATGGAATGTTATATCTTGTTGAGTTCGTATTTAAATTCCCCGTCGAACTGTGTACCACACCCAAAAAGTGATTTTTTTCAGATTTTTCGTAAAATTTTATGATGTTACCCCTTTCCAAAAATGCGAAAATCGCTCTGTCCCGACTTGAGTCTCAAAATATCAGTATTTTCCTCATTACACCGCCAAAGATGATCGTATCATGGAATGTTATATCTTGTTGAGTTCGTATTTGAATTCCCCGTCGAACTGTGTACCACACTCAAAAAGTGATTTTTTTCAGATTTTTCGTAAAATTTTATGATGTTACCCCTTTCCAAAAATGCGAAAATCGGTCTGTCCCGATTTGAGTCTCAAAATATCAGTATTTTCCTCATTACAAAACCAAAGATGATCGTATCATGGAATGTTATATCTTGTTGAGTTCGTATTTAAATTCTCCGTCGAACTGTGTACCACACCCAAAAAGTGAATTTTTTCAGATTTTTCGTAAAATTTTATGATGTTACCCCTTTCCAAAAATGCGAAAATCGGTCTGTCCCGACTTGAGTCTCAAAATATCAGTATTTTCCTCATTACAAAACCAAAGATGATCGTATCATGGAATGTTATATCTTGTTGAGTTCGTATTTAAATTCTCCGTCGAACTGTGTACCACACCCAAAAAGTGAATTTTTTCAGATTTTTCGTAAAATTTTATGATGTTACCCCTTTCCAAAAATGCGAAAATCGGTCTGTCCCGATTTCAGTCTCAAAATATCAGTATTTTCCTCATTACAAAACCAAAGATGATCGTATCATGGAATGTTATATCTTGTTGAGTTCGTATTTAAATTCCCCGTCGAACTGTGTACCACACTCAAAAAATCTATTTTTTCAGATTTTTCGTAAAATTTTATGATGTTACCCCTTTCCAAAAATGCGAAAATCGGTCTGTCCCGACTTGAGTCTCAAAATATCAGTATTTTCCTCATTACAAAACCAAAGATGATCGTATCATGGAATGTTATATCTTGTTGAGTTCGTATTTAAATTCCCCGTCGAACTGTGTACCACACCCAAAAAGTGAATTTTTTCAGATTTTTCGTAAAATTTTATGATGTTACCCCTTTCCAAAAATGCGAAAATCGGTCTGTCCCGACTTGAGTCTCAAAATATCAGTATTTTCCTCATTACAAAACCAAAGATGATCGTATCATGGAATGTTATATCTTGTTGAGTTCGTATTTAAATTCCCCGTCGAACTGTGTACCACACCCAAAAAGTGATTTTTTCAGATTTTTCGTAAAATTTTATGATGTTACCCCTTTCCAAAAATGCGAAAATCGGTCTGTCCCGACTTGAGTCTCAAAATATCAGTATTTTCCTCATTACAAAACCAAAGATGATCGTATCATGGAATGTTATATCTTGTTGAGTTCGTATTTAAATTCTCCGTCGAACTGTGTACCACACCCAAAAAGTGAATTTTTTCAGATTTTTCGTAAAATTTTATGATGTTACCCCTTTCCAAAAATGCGAAAATCGGTCTGTCCCGATTTCAGTCTCAAAATATCAGTATTTTCCTCATTACAAAACCAAAGATGATCGTATCATGGAATGTTATATCTTGTTGAGTTCGTATTTAAATTCCCCGTCGAACTGTGTACCACACTCAAAAAGTGATTTTTTTCAGATTTTTCGTAAAATTTTATGATGTTACCCCTTTCCAAAAATGCGAAAATCGGTCTGTCCCGATTTGTGTCTCAAAATATCAGTATTTTCCTCATTACACCGCCAAAGATGATCGTATCATGGAATGTTATACCTCATTGAATTCGTATTTAAATTCCCCGTCGAACAGTGTACCACACTCAAAAAGTGATTTTTTGAGATTTTTCGTAATTTTTATGATATTCAAAAAATACGAAAACCGATTTGAGGCTCGAAATATCAGTATTTTCTTCATTACAAAGCCAATAATGGTCGGAAAATGTTATATCTCATTAGGCTTGTATTTCAATCTATTTTCAAAATATTGAAGTGCCATTCAAATCTGAAGAAAATAATAATTCTTCAATTTTTCGAAAAAATTATGATGGTACCCCTTACAAAAAAGTGAAATTTCACAAAAATTTTAATTTCCGAAAATCATCGCCACAACCACATGTATTGGATTTGCTTGGATCGTTAGCTGCACAAAACAAAATTATGATGGTACCCCTTACAAAAAAGTGAAATTTCACAAAAATTTTAATTTCCGAAAATCATCGCCACAACCACATGTATTGGATTTGCTTGGATCGTTAGCTGCACAAAACAATCCTCACTATAGCTGTGCGTCTTAATTTGACAGAGTTATAAGCATTTTACTGGTAAAAATGTCGAGAATTTTACATAAAAGTCATTATTTTGCTCAAAAAGAGATTTTTTGAGATTTTTCGTAAAAAAAAATTATGGAAAAAAAGTTGTTCAAAAATTTAAATCCGACAAAATAATGATATTTTTTTCAAACACAAAATCTATATTTTAAAAGCGGTATTGGCCGTCACAATGCAAAAAGTTTATGAATTATATCATATCTCATAAAGTTGATAATTGAGTTTTCAGAAACAAAAAGAACAAAGGGATCCTACATGTTTCGAATAGCAATCTATCCTTTCGCTTTCTCTAAACAAACTTTCACCATATTTAGCTCCATTTCCGGCTGCGTCACAAAGTTTGCCAAACACCAAACAATTCCGTTGGCAGGTTAGATACCCTTTGTTTTTTCCACAATTAATGGCTAGCAGCGAATGTCGCGCTACCTTCTTTGGACTGCCATTCATTACTACAGGTAGAACCGCCCTACCTGACTCACTACTACCACCACCGAACCCCTGTGAAACTGCCTCTTTGCATACAATATTTGCGTTTATTTAGACGTTGTAAAAATTATAATTATGTTTGCGTGCCACACATGCGAATGAGCCATGAAATCGGGCATTGAAACAGAACCATATTTTGCGATCACTTCGATTAGATAAGACCCAAGGGTGACGTCTTGCTTAAAGCCTCCGGTCTAGGACACAACGGGCACTTTAATCCATAACTGCCAGTAAAATTTGCAAATGAGCAAACAAGGAAAACGATAGGAAAGCGAAGGAAGGGTGTTTCCACTTTCCCAAGCTATAAATAATTAATTAATTCAGACGCAGGCAAGCGGTTGAGACGATGTCGAGAGAGAGAGAGCGTTCTATGCAAATTTCTGAATATAGACCATAAATTTACAACCGAACCGAAAGCCCGATGAAGCCATCACTTATGCCCTACCTATAACTGTGTACCGTGTACATTGTACACTATATAGATGCTTATGCTTGCCATAATTACGATATATATAGCTATATATATACCGATACTTACGGATATTAAGTTGCGGCAAGTTCACTGACCACCGACGGACTTCAATGCCCAACTCCGCTTGACCACGCCCAGTCAACTCTATGGAAAGTACTTTGGAAAACTGCTTTTAGCGACAGTTTTCCCTTGCCTTTTTTCGCCTCCTTTTTTTCTAGTAGCTGGCTGGCTGGTTTTGCTGTTAATTCCCAGCTTGCTTACAAAATGGCAAATAGTCGCAGCTGGCAGCCATTTTTCTTGCATTTCGCTTTGTTATTGATACCGTGGATAAGTAGGAGGCTAATTGGGGGTTATGGGCGTAAGATAAGGAGTAATAAGAGAGATTTTTATAGCAGTTTCATATTAAGGTTTATACGAATTATTAACATTATCAGAAGGATATTTATATTGTAGAAATGTCTTGAAGGTTGTAACCTTCATTTCTGCACACACAATGACCATTCATTTATAAAAGGGTATCTTCCTTGCCCATACCTTCCATTTAACCAGACTCAGCTCTCTGTTATTTCGCAAAGCTGCAACGGAAACATTGCATAATTAAAAAATAGCTGCTGTTTACGAGTAGATTGTTTGTTTATTGTGTAGTCATCTCCAGCTTTAGTCCTCGTCCCACCAAAAAGCCCCTTTACTTTGTTTCCCTTTCACAGGATTTAAATTTAATAAAGCATTAGTATTTAAATTAATTAATGAGCACCATGGCTGTTTCAAGTGAAAAATTAAGTATAAAATGAGGTTCGCGGAAAGTACGGGGATATCTTCAGTGGAAAAGTATCTCCTTCTTACGGATCAGTGACTTGAGTTCTACCAATAACTGACCGATTTCATCGTCTAGGTTATTTAACATCTTCTGGTGGATATCTGGTCTAAGGACTCCACAGCAGTTGGTCTTACAAAGTTCTTTGATCTTGGCCAGGTGAACCATTCTCTCCTGCTGAAGCTCCTCCTCCATTTCCAATTGATGGCGAACTCGGATCAGATCCTTCATGGCGAATGGTGGCTGGTCTACCAAAATACTGCGACGGTAGCGATGCCACGTATTTCGTTGGCATACAAGAACTTTATGACGATGCCATTTAAGAGCCGCCAACTCAAATCTTCGATCCAAAGCCTGCAATCTCCCAAAATCATTCAATCCAAATCCCCGGCAAAAAGTCTTAAAAAATTTAAGCTTATTGGGTCTTCCATGCCAGCGTTTCAATCGCTCTAAGGCTCGATAGGCACCAATTAAAAAACCCTTAAAACGAATCTCAGTGCCCTTGCTATTCATCAAGGGAAAAGGCATATCTTTTACGTCCTTCATTGTTCCATCCAAGTTGTAGTACTTCAAGCACTCGACCCGCAAGTTCTCTCTGCGAGTTAACAATTGTTCAATCGTTTTATCCCTAAGCACATTTGGGGGATTCGTTTGACCTCCAGTTAGTCTGGTCACCAGAATTGGCTCCAAGCTCCTCCGGGGCACAGATGATGGATTCTCTGGCTCTGGTTCAGTAGTGACATATTCAGAGTCTGAGGTGTGCCTCAAACGTTCAGACATTTCCTCGAAGCAGTTTTTCAGACTTTTCACAGCACTTGATCTACGGGTGACCTGCTCTATGACACTAGCTAGCTTTTTAAGCTTCTCATCAGTTGTGGAACTAGAGGATCCAGTTCTCTCTGTCTCTCCGTTAACTTGATCACGATTCAGAACAGAATCTCCACAACGAGATGAATATACATTTCTGATAGCTTTCATTGAACATTTACTGAAGGGATGTTGCTCGTTTTTCGAGAGCTTCTCCTCTAAGGATTGGATTCTCTGCCTCACACTTCGTTTTCCAGCCTCAATAGCGCATTCGGAGCAATTCGCATCAGAACTGGACTGCGAAAGAACGGGGATATAACTCTTCTGGCAAATTATCTTCAAAATATAATTATATTTTTAGTTCTTACCTTTTCCAAGGTTTCAGAAACCTCTTCGATGGGATCCAGTTTCTTAGGGCGAAGAACAGTTTTAAGTGATGCCACCCGGGATACGGATCGGCCTGACACCAATCCTTGTTTCTCTATTGGCTGAGTTTCAGCAACACTTGTAGTGGATTTCTTTTTCTTCGTTTTCATCAAAGAAGATATCTTCATGCATGGTTTGCCCCGGTACTCATTTAAAACCTCGTTTAGATTTCTGCTGCAATTTCCCTCATCCGTGAAAGGTTCTTTGAGAAAACCAAACTCATTTAAGTGGCCATGCATTAAAAGCATAAGACTATTTCGTGCCAACTTCTCATTGGACGTTGTTTTCTCAAATACCTCCATCCACCTGGCCATGATCAGGCGATCCGACTGAGCGGCCCTTGACTGATCGACATCCTTGTAAGTGGCCACCTGCTGCTGAAAATGGCGGTCCAATAACTCCTCACTTGGTTCTATCATAGACATTTTTGCATATTCCGCCAGATGGGACTATTTCTAAAATTCCAAAATTTTAGCTTTGTTGTACCGGAAATTTAAAAAATTTGAATGATTTAAATGAAATTAACGCTGACTGTGATCGTGAAAGGAAATCGAAAGGGGAATGGGATTATGTGGTTTTACTCTGCGGCTGTCACTGAGCGTTTCTTAACCGCAAGGAGCGGAGTGGGCTAAGAGTCGAGCTCAGGGCTTCTCAGGGATGTGTCAAGTGGTGGCCCCAAGTCTGGTAACAAGCACAAGAAGCAGCGACACCACACTAAAAATTATAAATAAATAGCAATATAATAATGTTTAATAATAGAAATGATCTAAGAAGCGAGTTATGTTAAACAAATAACCGATTTCTCTTGATCATAATAACTTAATTTACTAAATTTGTAGTAATATTTAATAGAGATTATGTAGATGCATTTTATGAGTGTAACAGCAGAGGGAACAAAACCGTGTGCGGTTGCGTTGCCACGTAAATTTTCATTAGCACAGCGCGCGTATAAATTAGGAAAATGAAGCAGCAGCAGCGGCGGCAGGCACTTGAGTGCACCGCAACCTCCATCAAGATGGCCCTTGGTAGGGTGAGTGGGTGGCAGATGGTGAGTGATTGGGTGGTGGCTGATGGGCGAGGCGGTTTAACCGCAAAGACAACAACAACACCGATACGTAGGTGCTGCGGCTTGTGGCGAACAGCGGGCAAAAGTTGCAAACGACCGACTGCCTGCATAAATTTATATTGTTAAACATGAGCTAGAAAAAAGCACGCGCAGCCTGTCAAAACAAAAGCAAAAAGCAGGCAAGAGCAAAGAAATGGCCTGACATGCAAAAAGCGGTTAGAAAAAGTAACGTAAATGCATAACGTACCTCGCAAAAATAGAATACTTTAGTTATAGTGCAGTCAGAGTTCACAGCATGTCTAATAAAAGACCTCACATGCAAAAGGCCTCCTCTCGGTATATTTTTCTTACGAAAAAAGGACGCCAAGTAATATTACAAACTTGTGTTAATTTGTATACAAAAATATGTAACTTTTGACAATACTTTCATCGGCAAATTATATTCCAAACTTGTACTAGACTAAATGTGTTTAATAAATAATAGATAAATATTAAAAGTTCGATTTCAATGATATCTGGCAACTCCGCGACGTAGATCGGTTATTAATAATGTTCGGTCACTCTAAGTCTTATGCTACTTCCACCCGCGCGTGTTGTGCTTTTCTGTTTTGCTTTTTTTTTAAATTATAAATGGATTTTGATAGCTGTTTTCGCATATGTCAGGTTAATGGCACAATTTCTATTACTACACGTAAAGTCCTTGACGAGGATCTAATAGCCTTGCTGGAGCAAAGGGAGGGTGAAGTAAGTTAAAGAAAAAACAATTCTTAGGGATAACCAACTTATTTTACAGCTATTTCTCACTGGAATACCCAAATACCATCTTTGTACTCCGGAAATGCTGGTGGATCTGGCCAGCGAGCTGGGTGAAGTTTATTCCCTTCGTTATAAGATCGATTTTTCAGGACAAACGCGAGGTTATGCCTACTTGCAATACATCAATGCGCCTCTTAAGGAAGCGGCCCTAGAATAGTAAGTAATCTTTACGAATTTAAGGATAAAAAAGTTATAACTTCCAACCATAGTCTGCCCATGCGATTCAGCCAACTGGACCTCAAAATCAAAGTGCTATCATCCAACAATAACAGAGAGTTACTTCTTAAGCGGGTGCCGTTACTCAGTCCCTGGCAAGTTTACCAGGAGTTGAGAAAGATATATCCTTTCACCATCCTTCGTGTGTACGAGTACCAATACGGCCATTTTATATACATCATCGGATACAGCAACAATGACATGGCCGCAAAAGCCCATCATTGCATTAGGAGTATGATCAGGAAATTCGGTCCGCGAGCGCACATCTCCTGGCTGAACCGACATCATTTCTTGAGTGAAACACAAAAATCTCACTGCTGTGAAAACTTTAAAGAGCAAGATAAGCTTTTAGGTCCAGTCAAAACATCTAGATGTTTCATATATTAAAAGGGCTTTGAGAGCTGACCATTTCCTAATACAGTGAGTTCGTCAAATAACCAACATGTAACCTAATGGCACTACCACAGAGGAAAGAGCAGTACAATTATTGAATACATAAAAATTTATATTTGTATACATTTTTTAAGTTTTCGAAACAAAGTGTAAACATTTTTTTATAAGAACTGCAACAATCCTATAAGAGATTTTTCTTATGGAGATTGACTGGATAATATGTAATATATATATAGTGTTTTATTAATCTTAACGCCAAGAAAATCTTAATTTTTCAATAAAAAGTATTAAGCCCTATCTCTTTAACAAAAGTGTGTTAAGCCAATCCGCGGAAATATTTTTCTGTCTATTCGAATAGAACACAAACTTCAAAGTTGTTTAACTGAGCGAAAATGTATACAGCATTGTTCCTGGCTATCCTTTTGGCTCGAAGGGCCTACGTCTGACGAAATGCAGCCGCAGCTTGTTGACTTCATTAACTCTGAGCAAAATAAAAAAAAAAAACCAGAGAGCAGCCATAAAAATATCAAAAACAACAGCGGGGCTGCAGTTTTTCACATGCAAATTAATGCAGTGTCTTTGGAGTGCCGGAGTGCCAGTCAGGATTTTCAGGGCAATGCGACAACCTGCGGCATAATGCAATTAAATGAGTGCAGCGAGCAGCAGGAGTCACTGAAGCCTCCGGCTGGTATTGTGTTAGACCCGGAGTCTGGGGTACGGACTCTGACGGAGACCAAGTCTCCAAAGTGCAATGATCGACGGAAAGGAGAGGGCAGAAGAGCACAGGACCTGCCAGCTCATCCGTCAGCCGGAGGATGCAATGCGATGTGATGCGAAGGACGGAGGACGAAGGACAGGTCCGCTGCGCATTCTAATGCGATTGCCGCACTTGACGGGATGTCGTGGCAAGCGGAAACGGATGTTGTTGTCCTGCTCGACCTGCCCTCCACTCCTGGGTGCAATTAAATTAGAGCCTGAAATCGAAATGCAGTCAACACGAACAGATGCAAAAATAAGAAGCAGGAAAACACTCACAGGCACAGGCCATCACAACCTCATAAATATTCATTAAATTAAGCATAAGTCGAGACATCTTCTTCATGGTTAGTATATACAAAAACAAGAAGAGCGATGAATGTTTTCCAAAATCATTTGCATTAATTTGTTAATTCAAGCGCGACAGCCACGCCCCTGTTCACTCACTTAAAGGCCATTAAAATTTCAAAGCCATGTGAGGGATTGTGCAAGATGCTTAACCCATGGCAATCTGCCGTGCCGTTGAGCGGTTTAAGTCGTGAGGCCGCAGCTGTGACGCAATTGCAAAGGCTCGAAGTTTGCTTCTAATTTTCCTTTACTTGCCATAACTGCGCCAGCATGCAGGCAGCATCCATTTTTTCGACTTACAGATGGGATCAAAACAGTAGTGTTTGCAGGATTAGCATACAAAATATATAACCTACCAAGGTTATTATAGGTTAAACATGTTTAGAAATGATTTATGAAATAATGGTGTAAACTCTATGGTGGCTAAATTACCTTTCCCATTTGTAAATCGCTTATAAAATCTTTAAACTAGTCAATTTAATATTAAAATACAGTCTAAAGTATATGGTTTTGTAATAAAACATAAAACGCCTCTCATCCTGGTCACCACTGTAAATGGTGACCCATTTTCGAGTCTGTGATAGAGGGCAACTCAGCCTGAGCTTACCTGGTTATTGCGGCAAGTGCCAATATTTGCCTTTTGATGCGAGTAGCAAAGGATATAAAGGGGGATATAGTGTTTTCGGAGGGGATGGGGCCGGGTGCAAAAGTCAAGTGGGGGAGTGGCGGAGGAGCTGCTGCTGCTGCCAACTGACACAGTTTGTTTTAGGCTTTAAGGCGGTCGGTGTTTGGATTTGGGTCACAGATTGCCTGGGACAAAGGAGCCGAAGGAACGGGATCCGGGGGCAACTGTCACCGGAAAGCGAAAGTTATGCACATATTGAGTTCAAGCTTTAAGGGGAATGTGCCAGTCCAATTTCTTGCCGGTTTCAGCTTTTTGAGTGCGGTTTTAGTTCCGTTCTTGGCCCTTTTTCATTTTCGTGCATTTCTCTCCAACCGCATCTGCAGCAAAGTGCATGACAGATGCGGATGATATAGGGATGTGAAGTAGGAGGCGATGGCACTGGATATGGATGCGGATGTGGTGAGGGAAAAACCGCCAACCTCCAGCACTTAACGCGAATTTTTTGATGATTTTTTAAGCAACTTGTCGTTGGCTTGGAAATGCCATTACCGACATGCATCATGCATATGGATGACTCTGCTTGTTTTCAGTCCCCATCCTCCGCTGGCTTTGGTTTAGCCAGATGGAATACGGATGATGGTCGCCGGTGGAGCACGAATTTAAGATGAGCTGGAAATCGTCTTTAAAAAGTTCGCAAGTAGTTCCCCGTGGAAGTTTGCATGTGTTAACCAGACCTGAAAAACTGAAATGTTTTCATAACTGATGGAAACTCTGCAGCTGTGAATATAAAAACTGTGTTTAACTTCTGTCGCCAGCAAATTAAAATCAGCATAGGTTATCAAAACAAAAGTTTTTATGACAAAAGGAAAATAAACATATAACCATTAACTTTTCTTAAAATATGAACTTTGATTTTGTCAAAAATGGGTTTTCAGTTAATTTGGTAAAAGGCAACATCAAATATTTAAAATAATCATAAGATTGTTATACCAACTACAAGAACTTACCATAGACATTTTTATTGCTTTCTTAAGAAAAGTTTATGATCGATTTCCTACAAATTCTTTCCTCTTCCTTTGCCATATTGCCTCTTACCCACCAGCTTATATTTTATTAATCAATTCAATTTTGTCGCCAAAAATTATGAAAATTCCCCCAGATGTTGCCCGTTGACTGCGTTGACAGCACAAGTTGATAATGACTGCCGGAGAAGGCCAAAAGTTAGAACAACACTTTTATTGACTTTTACGGAATGCCTTCCGAGGGTTTCTTAATCGCCCCCTTCTTACATTTTTTTGGCACTCTGGATCCTTGCAAATTAATGAAAAAACTTGTGGGCGTTGTCGTCCAAGTTGGATATAAAACACAAAAATATTTATTTTTCATAAGTCGTTGGACTGGAGGGATGGGCTATGGGTCCTTGAGGTCGTATTAAAAACAATTCCCAAACGGCGGCAAGTGGGAACAGTTGTTTTCGCTGGCAAATGAGTTTACGAGCGTGTCGTGTCCTGGTTGCTTTGTTTATGCTGAATATTAAATAAATTTTAACATCAGACACGACAAGTCCTCCGGCTCTGGCTTTCGTCTTCGGAGTGTTTTCTGGGCAACTTTGCTTGTTGACAATAAAATAACATTTTGCACTCACTTAGCCCAGCTGGGCTGTTACCCACTTTTCATCCAAAACTTGCCACCATTCGAGAGTTTTAATGAAAAAACTTTTCGACTACGAAGCATATAAAAAAGGCTCATATTTTTGTGCTCCGGAAATTGGCATGCAATAGAGTTGATTTCTGTGCGCAATTTATTGTATTTATATATACGAGTATATATGTATATTTATGTACGAAGTATGATGGCGGCTTCATTAAAATGTACACTTGATCATTGCTTGAATTTCTTGTGCAAACTTTCCTTGATGGAGCGTGCAAGGATGTGGCATAACAATATTACGCATACGCAACGTGAGCCTGAAGCTGAAGCTGTTGCTCCATCGAAAGCCAACCGAGGAGCTGATTGTCAGCCGCTCGTGGGCATTGCAAATCAATCAATAAAACGCCAGGCCAAGTCAATCGTAAGGAATTTTACGCAACACACAATCGAACCCATATTGCTTTGCGAAAGGCACACTGTGGAAAGCAATTAGCTTGGGATTTTGTTGAATTTTGAACTAAAATTAAATATTTAATACCTTCTCAATGTTATAAAATAAAAGACTGTTTATTATTGGAAGTGAAATTAATAAAAATATATAATTTGCAATGAGTATTCCCAATAATTAAGTGACAAGTTGGTGCCAATCTAGTATGTTAATTGAACTAAATTTGATGAGCAAGTTTAAAATTTGTCAAACATGGACATTAGTTTTTGCTCGATTTTCCTGCAGTGTGTGAAATTGTGAAATGCTATGCGCAATATTGAAGCAGCTGCTCATACTTTAGCTAACATTCCGATGGAGAATCAAACGGTCCGTCAGTTGGACGGACCGGGCGGACGGCAGTTGGTTCTGACTGACAATCGATTATTTGCAGAGTGCAAAATAAAACGTCAAATGAAATAAAGCTAAGCGGAATGGAATAAAAATATATAGAAATGTATTTACTATATACCAATGAAGCTATATATATATTAGATATGGATGGTTATGCACTCGCCCAGTTGCTTTGGCATTGGCTGCCGGCATCGGATTCCTTCATTCGAACGGCAATTTAATTTCAATTTCTTGGTTGCCAGGCTCCCGATTTCTCCATCTTTCTCCATCTCCAATTTCACATTATTTATGGTGCAATAAAAAAAAAATATAAACATATATATATAGTATATATAGCAAACGTATGGAGGGAAAAACTTTGCATTAGCATAGCAACAATATTTGCCGACTCTTTTGTCCTTGCCACAATTTTGTTGCGAAATTTCATTATGAACGGATGTCGCTTAAGTGCACATTGAATTCAATTAGAGCCCGACAAGCCATGCAATTCTACATCCACAAACTCCCGGTTCCGTATGTTTCGTATGCTCCTAGTTTCTGGATGTGCCAGCATATCTACGGATTCGAACCTGCCAATTGAAAATTGAATTATAAAATATTTCGCACACTCACACACAATGGCATGCAAACATGTCCGATGAGATGTCCTTCTGAGACGCAGTTTGCTCGAAACAGGACATAGGAAACCGCAACCAGATGTTGTCTTTGTGTGGGTTTGGTCATCGTATGTGTATGTGCTAGAGGAAGAAGGATGCTGATTGGAATGCGCTACATTAAGAAGTCAACTCTTCCGGATGTAAATAAAGCTATTTTCCCCGGAATTTCGATTAAAAATAGTGCCGGAAAAGTTTTCCCAAAGAACATTGTTTCGTCAACTAAAAGTTGCGTAAAGTATTGCGATGCTAAAAAGTTTACCATTAACTTGAAATTTACGCCAGGCCATGTTCTTTTTTGTAACTTATAAGTTACCAATTTGTGAAGCCAAAATAAATTATAGTTTTTAATACTGTCATCCTTCCTTCTCGAAACAATTGTCCTGCTACACAGCAATTATTTAATTGCACTGCAATCATCTATCCAGAAAATACTTAAAAGATATATGGCCTGAAGTGCGACCCATTCGTTTCTGAGATTCTCCTGGGCCATCTTTGTTTAATGTGTCTACATAATAGCGTTCACCGGCTTCCATCTGGCTGGATGTGGCTGGATTCTTTCCTTTCCGCCTCTAAATTTGCTGGCCCACAACTGCAGGCGGCTTCTGGTCCTGGCCAAGATGCTGTGCAAGGGGTTTCCTGCATCCTGTCGTTTCCTGTCCACCACCAGGCAACCGAACCGCCTCCGAACCACCCAGCTGCAAGTGGGGCAGAATCTGCTCTGCTTTTGCTAGTGCTGTGGTGGCCATTATTTCCTGTATTTAATTGCACTACTCTCGGCTGCGGTTTTCTGCTACATTTGTTGCCGCCTGCAACCGACCAAGGACTATAATGTACTTTGGCTAACCATCCGGGCAGTGCAGTCCTTTCGGGACTCAGGACCTCACCCATTCACTGCTTTCACTTCTCCAACTTTTTTTTTGGCTGACTGTCGTTTGCCGGTTTCTTCTTTGTGACGTATTTGCTGGTCACTTTGCTGGAGCAGTCATCAAATGATTTATACTTTAATAAGCGTGCTCAGGACATGCAGAGAAATTAGATGGTGACCACAGGAGGCTTCATTTCCTCCCTCGCACTTCTCCATCATGCTGACATTTTTCTTTGACGCTCACAAAAGGAATTTGCGCAATTTATGAGTGGCAGGCGGTTAGAAAAAAAAATACCAAAGCAGCGTTCGAGAAATTAATAAGGAAGTCGGTCCAGATCGGAAGTGTGAGCCATGGGAGGACAAGAGGATGATGGCTTTTCAAAAGTATGTCCGGTATTTGTGCCATTAAGGCAAACGAAAGGCAGCGAAAGGTGACAAAAATGCACGCAAGCTCAGATCCTGCGATTTTTAAGGGGTTCTCAGGATGTGCGCACATAAGTATGCAATGATTCCACACTTAAGTTTTATACTTTTTTTTATAATTTAATAGTAACTTTAGTTTCTTTTTTCTCTTTGAAATAAACCTTTGCTTAAGTTTTATATACTCAAAAACTAATCAATATCAGAATTTTCACACGAAGGAAAACAGTTGCTAGTGAGCTTTAGAAAATTTAATTCATTCGTAAAATCATCTTTTGAGGTCTATGAAAATATATACCAAGCCATGGGCCAAGCTCACGGGGAAATATTTTGGGCAAGGTTCACAATCCGTCGATTTACTTCTTCAGCAGCAGAGGAGCGGCAGCGGTGGCAACATAGGGGCTGGCCACATAGGGCGAGCTGTAGGCCAGAGGAGAGGTGTAGGCAGCAGCGTAAGGGGTGGCGTAAGCAGCGGCAACAGGAGCAGCGATGGGAGCGGTATAGGCGGCAGCAACTGGAGCGGTGTAGGCAGCGGGGAAGGCGGCGCTGTGGGCCACAGTGTTAGCAGTGTAGCTGGAGGCATAGGGAGCCACGTAGGCGGCACTGCCCACCACAGCCGGGGCGGTATAAGCCAGAGGAGCGGCGGCCAGAGGAGCCACGATTCCGGGCTTGGCAGCAGCCACAGCCACAACAGCGAAGAAGCAGACGGCGAACTATGGATTAAAATATATTCTAATTAATTGATCCTTAAAAATATTTAATCATCCAAGCACTTACGAATTTCATGTTGATTGGTTTTTGTTTTTTGGTAGTTGTGACTACTTGGAGCTGTGAGCTTGATTTGATGATGAGTTGACCGGGCTGGCCAGTTTATATAGCGCCCAAGCCCACTTGGTTGTCCCACGAAGGCCGCGCTTAGACATGCAGCAGTCGTCGCTGACATCGCTACTCAAAGTCTTTGACTCCGTTCCAAGTTACTGGGCCGATTTAAGCCGTTGTTGCCTCCCACACACATTTGGCACGTGCGATCCGAATTCGTAAAGGGCATTGCCGGGTTCCCTGGGTCCAAGTGACCTTCATCGAAATGACATATTAATTAAGCACTGTTAAATCTAAAGTATTTTGTATAATTTTTATTTTTGATTTTAAGCTTAAAATCTTTTCAGATTTTCGATCAACTGTTCTTTCCACCAGCCTATCAAAAAATATTAAACAAAAAATCCAAAAATTTAATTCGAAATTCCAAAAACCTTCAAAGATGAGCCATTTGGACGAATGCGCCCAGGACCGCCACTTTGCCAGCCAGTTACGGAACTTGCGATTGTACTGTAAGGAGCACCCAGTCCGCCAGGAGGACTTCGACATAATTCAGCTATGGATAAAACGTTTTCAGGAAGTGAAGGGACTTGAAAAATTCGCCAGGAACTGCATGATGATGCTGATGTATGAACAGGTTAGGGAGACTGGCAGCTTGGGTAATCCTTTTACGGAATTGGACTACTTAAACCATTCCATGGATGATTTGCTAAGCGGTTACGATGCGACGGTGTTGGACGAACCGCCGGTGGTTAAAAATGTTAATACGGAAAGTAACGCCTCAAGCTATGGAGGTGGAAGCAGTCGATTCTCTCAGGAAACTGCCGCCCAGGAACCCCTTCCACTTCACGAATTCGAAAGAATTAAACAGGCAAACCAAGATCTCCTCAAAGAGATCGACTCGATGCACATCTGTGCATTAAAAACGGAGAAGTATTACAGGGGCAGGAACCAAATAATAGCGAAGGAAGTGGAGGAGAAATCCGTTACTAGCAGATCTGAGCTTCTCAAGGAGAACATATATAAGTCGTGCCGCACGGCTATTGATCTTTTGAAGACTTGGCCGGGCGACAAGGGCCGACTCAACTTCTTCGCTACCTGCCTAGAGCCTTTCTTGCGGAACGATCTGGTTAGCAGATTAATGATCTCTGAATTGGATCTCAGTTTTGAGGATAACTTGAACAGTTTGGTGTTCCAGGCCTGCTCTCGGAGAGACGACAACGTACGCATGCTTTATGACCATATCTTGAGGAATGACAAGGTTGGTCTCAAGGAAAAAGAGGCCAAGCTGCGGCAGCTACAGGAATCCATTAATGTTGAGCGTCAAAGATTGCGAGAACTTTCTGAGGATTTAATTATGAGGCATCAAGCAATTGTCACACTAGCAGTAACAGGACTTCCATTACAAGACCTAGGCAGTCCTGGCATCTCAAAATGTGAGTTCTGCCATAGGGAAAAATCATTCAGCACGATACCAATAGATCCACTATTCAGTACATGCAAATGTGGAAAATCTAGAAGCGCCGAAGATCTGGAAAAGTTATCCGATGCACTCAGCGAGCTGTCCGTAGAAAAATAGTAATCGTCTTAGAAATACCCCACACACATTTCTATATACTTCCCATTTTCTTGTTCGAATCAATAAATCGTTGAGTTGTTTTGAAAAGTTCCTGCCCCCCTCGCAGTTTTCACCGCCAGCGTCCCTGTCAACTGCAAAACTTTTAATGTAGTTTTAATTTTCTCGTAATCACGGAGGGAAGTTAGCTGTATTCGTGAGGAGTCGGCAATCATCTGCGCACTTACACATTGAAAAGTTAAGTTTTTGTTTCCCACTTTCCTTTTTAAATATAAAAATATTTAGTTCTTTAATATTCAATCTGATTCATGGCTCTGAATCTATAACTTTCCAATTGAGTCTGCTCAATTACTTTCATTGTTTTTCTCCCAGTGTAGTGACCATTTCTTCAGCCTGGGAAGAGGAGAAAAGAAAACGCAGCCAGAAAAAACAAAGTTGGAAGAACAGCAACAGCTTTGTTCGTAATTAGTTTTTAAGCGCCTCGAAAGAGTGTGTGGTAGGAGGATTTATATACCCTAAGTGGGCCCAAAGAGTGTGTGTGCCTTTGGCTATGACAACATGCAGTTAAGCACTTCTTAACGACGCCTGACTGCCGATAATGGTCTCTGCAAAAATAAGTGCAATTGACTTTCTTGGCCGTAAACATAATTTTGAAAGAAATGACTTATTTTTAATGCCAAAGCTATAAAATGATAATACATTCTAAAATATATTTAAACAGATTTTCATAAAATTTAAACAACAGAACGCACTCATATGATTTATGATTTTTCTTGTGGTTGCCATGAACGAGAAAGTATGATATATAATCACTAACAAGCTTAAGAAAATGTTGCCGCCTTAAGAAGCGTATAAATTTCCAAAATTTTATAAAGCCAACATTTCTTGCCATATGTACGTATAAGTATATATATAATAGTTTTTCTTTGCCACAGCACCACAACCATTTATTTTCCAAAAAGCCAGGAAGAAGTCTAAAAAAAAAGTTGGGAAAAAGTTGTCAAGGAAAATGCAGTGCCTCTGCAATCCCCAAACTTTCTGCTAGTCCATCTTTCTCCACTGCAGTCTGACAATAGCTCAAAATATGTAGCACCAACTGTCGATGCAGCCGGAAAGGGGGGACAAAGAGTAAGTGTGCGAAAAAAGTTTCCGCTCGGCTTTAATGATGCGTACACCGTAGAGACAGCCAAAGTTTGGTCGGCCAAAATGGAGAAAAATTTGAGGAAGTGACGGAAGCCGAGCGCTTACATTAGTGGCATAAAATTAATGACAAATTTCGTGGGCTTATGCGGATGCACTGTTCCGTTACGGACAATTTCCGGACAACGAGAGCGAACTTCGCAAACAATTAAGGCCAGAAGTGAGGGAATATTTGCGTAAAACTAAGGCAAACAGGAATATAGCATCTGCGGCCACCGGCAAAAGTTGCATTTTTGCGGCACTCAAGCGACTCCAGCAGAACCATTACGGCGGAATGTGAATTGCCCACCGGAGGTGCCGGAGTGCAATGCTGCTGCCGGTGGTGTTTATCACATGCAGCTAACATCTCCGACGACGCTTAATGGCTTCCTACCCGGACAGTTTGCTTCTGGGCGGGGCATAACACTTTGGGGACTCCCATTCCGGACTCGCAATACTACCCATCTGCGGACCAGCACCATTCCTTAATAAGTTACATCTGTACATTTGCGTTGATTGCGTTGTCCTTGTTTTCTCTATATATATTTACACTTGGTTAGTCTCTTGGGGCAACTCTTTGCCGCCGGAATGGTGTCGTTTGGCAAAGGTTTCTCCCACAATCAATGGAAAGACCAAACTGGCCTCGGCATAGACTTTAACGGGTGTGGCGTCCTTCCTGATCTTTCCCCAGGATATTGCCTCATCAGGCCTGGCGCCACTATCGCTACCATCAAACTCTGAAGCGGTGTTGATAAAGACTGAGTAATCCGCGCCATTCCGCATCAGATTTGCATTGCAGATGTGATGCTTAATGACGCCGCCACCCACGATAATCATCCCGCTGTTAACGGCTTTAACTGCCATGGTGTTCAACCTTCGCAGATCGGACAGTATATCCACCACGAGACCAGGTTGCCGGAAGGAGTGAAAGTACATCATGTCGCCCAAACTGCCATCCGTCAGAGCTGGACAAAAGACGGGTATTTGATTCTTGGCTGCCCAGTAGTATATGGAACTGGGATCACCAATGCGCTCGCCCAAACGATTAATAATCTTTGAAGGCGACCAGACAATTCCCTGGGATTTTTGCTCTTCAAGCATTTCATCCAGCAGTGGCATCACCCAGTCCTCGAACTTGCAATAGTTGTCGTTGGGTACAAGCAGGTTGCCAATCCTGTTAATTCCCCGATCTCGTAGATCCCTCCCGCTTAGCTCAAAGGAACCCATAAAAGTAGGCGCCAGGCATTTGATGAAATCTTCCTCCACACCTCCCGCTGTGGTTACAATGCAGTCGATCATTCGATGCTCAGCCAGGAAGCGAATGGTCTCTCGCATGCCAGATGAAACGAGATTTGATGTGTATCCCAGGAACACGGTGCATTTGCTTCTTCGACGGATGAAGTCGTCTGTTTCATGACTGTCTAGTTGATCCGCCTCGAGTGGCTGGTCCCTGCAATCCAGCTGCCAGTTTTAGGTATTTGTAACATATAGAATCTGAGTACCTAATTAACTAACTCACCATTCTGTTAATTTCCCGAATGGCCAGACCGAGATTCGTTGCCTGAAATCCGGTATTCACATAAGATTCAAAGAGCTTACTATAGTTAACACCCTCGTTAAAGTCGTAGCCGTAAACTTGGGGTGTGTCCCCCGCTAAAGCCTCGCTGCGCTTCAAAACTGCATCCTTCGCCACTGCTGGCTCCGTCGACATGATTTCAATTCTTTAAATTCAAAATAAACTCGAAGGGAAATCAACATGTGCTGATTATGGCCGCCCTGGTTTCCATTAGAGATGGCATACACGAATGGTTGAAATTCACTGAATCCAAAAGACGCATTTCAATACTGCCGAATAATCGGAACAAGGCCAGTGCTGTCATCGAAGGCAACCATCGATTACTCGTACTCATCGCTTGGCAGCTGCCATCGCTAGAAAAAAAGAAAGAAACAAGGAAAAGAAAGAAAGCACTCGAAGTGATTTTTACATCAGAAATATTGTTAACGGTAGGCCAAATTAACAGTCACTAACTTGCCAAAAAACCACTAATACTCAAACAATCCTTCCTGTCCGCTTAGCAGCAAACAATCCATAGAGTGAAACACCAATCCGAGTGCAGCCAAACACAGAAGAAACGCCAGCGAGACGAGGACGCCAAGATGATTAAACTATTCACGCTGAAGCAGCAGAAGAAAGACGGCGAACAAAAGGGAAGTCAGCAGAAGAAAGCCTCCGCCGCCCAGCTGCGCATACAGAAAGGTAATATCTGCCATTTGGGATATCCACCTCTTAATAATAGCTTTGTACCTCTCCGTCGGTTTTCATCCCCCAGATATTAACGAACTGAACCTGCCAAACACTTGCGCCACAGACTTTCCTGATCCAGATGACTTGCTCAACTTCAAGCTAATCATCTCGCCCGACGAGGGCTTCTACAGAGACGGACGCTTCGTATTCAACTTCCGCGTTGGTTCCAATTATCCACACGAGCCACCCAAGGTGAAGTGTGCCACTCAGGTGTACCACCCCAACATCGACCTGGAGGGCAACGTCTGCCTCAACATTCTTCGCGAGGATTGGAACCCAGTGCTGAATATTAACTCTATTGTCTACGGCTTGCAGTTTTTGTTCTTGGTTTGTATTAAGTCATTTTAATTATAAAAAAACAGGCAACTTGCTTCTTAAAAATCAGTTTAATCTAGCTATTACAAATTAAATGTTCTAACTAACCTTTACTGTTTTCAGGAACCCAATCCGGAGGATCCGCTTAACAAGGAGGCGGCTGACGTCCTGCAGACCAACCGCCGGCAGTTTGAGAGCAATGTGAAGAAGGCGATGCGCGGCGGCTGTGTGGGCGAGACCTACTTCGAGTGCTGTCTGCTCAAGTGATATAGGGAATCCCAAGGTCTCTTACTTTAAGCCTGCCCATACACCCCTCCCAATCCCCGCTAACTGGAGAAGATGATGCAAACACAGACGAACATCGGCGACAACAAATTATTGTAATAAACGAAAGCAAAATCTACTGCGTGCGAAGAAGAAGCCGAGTCGAGTCACCAATTTCTAGTTTTTAATACAATTCATTTAGCAATTTCTCCCGCCCGTCTCTTAATATTAATCGGCACGCCTCAGAAGGCACTCCTCGAAATTTCTCACAGGTGAATGCTGTGCCTGGCCATCTGCATATTCCGCCATAGACATAAATCGGCCACCGCCGACTGTCTTCCTGCTTGGAGTCGTAGGTCGTATAGTCTGCTGATCAAACCCACTCGTATATCGTCGGTGACCAGAACCTTAAGCAACTGCTGAACCAAGGTGGTGGGCAGCAGTCGTAGCACGGGGGCCACTCGATCACCACCACATTCCACCAGCAGCGATATGAACTGATAGACAAAGACTGCCTTAGGCGACAATTCATCTCCACTGACAAACTGCACAAATACTCCAAAAATATGCTGAACACTGGTGTGTAGTGGTTCTCTTAATGTTAGCGGCGTGGTCCGCAACTCGGTGCTGGATGTTGATCCCAATAAAGCTGCTAGACCGCCACCGGCTGCGGATTCGGCAAAGTCGCTGGAGTTGTCACTGCCTTCACCAATAACCTTGCGTACCTTGGCTGCGTTTGCCGCCAGTTCCTCCTCATCGTGAGATCTTGATCGCTTTTTCATGGCTGTCAAAGCGGATGAGGCATTCCCTTTACGGATTTCCAGGCAGGAGATAATACAATATACACATAGGCGGGCCAGCACAAGAGATTGGGGCTCATTTATGTCGTCACTAGAATAAATCAAATATCAAATTATAAGAATAATTATTTGAATAGCAGATTATATTTTCTTATTATTATTCATTCTTCATATGTCCACTTGTTCGACTAGAATCTTTAGTTACACATTTATAATGTAACGCATAATTATGGTTATCTAAGCCACTTCCAAGCATTTAAGCTACAAAGTGTATGTATTAAAACGAAAACGTTCTCTGAATGAAATCGCATATATGTAAGCTCAAAAGTAAGAATTTGTAATTACCCTTGTCGCCGAAGTATTAATGGGGCTACCACGTACTGCAGCAAGGCTTCTGTGGTCTTCTCAATGTCAAGGTGCATTACAGCAAACACTACATCCATCGATCGAGACATATCCCTTGTGTACTTGCAGGCTAGCAACTGTTCAACCATCTGTGTCGTCAGCCACGCCGCTCCGCCGGCCAGGAGCAGGGACTCCAATGACTGGGCAGCGCGAACGGGCAGATGACCAGCATCGACTACTGTACGCCACACCTCTCGGAATTGCTCGACCAGTGGGGAGTGTGAAATCAGGCGGGATTTTGTGCTTGGTGCAGGATGCACATCATGTTGCATTTTCCTGATGATTTGATAAGACAGAGCAAGACGCTCCTTTGCATTTTCCTGGCTAGAGAGCTCCTCGCTGGTTAACGGCGCCAAGAATTGCTGTATCATGTTCAGTGGCTTCAGAAGCTCTGTTTCTTTCACCGAATACATGTAGGCACACAGGAAACTAGTCGCGCAGACGGAGAAGCTGAACAGTCTCCGCTTAATATTATCCAGAATACTTTTTACATCTGCTGAAGAGAGGGTCTCCTGTTCCCAAGCTATAAGGACGTGATGGAGCACTCCAGGCAGATTTAGGCAAGTCTCCTGCCAACTTAAACTACTTGGCTTTAGTTGAGCTGCCTCTGGTTTGCTTAAACTAAGCAAAAGCTCGTCCACAATCGCATCATCGCAAAGGGCAAGAATTTGGCGGGGGTTCTTAAGCTTATTTCGTTCCACCATGCACTCACGCACCCATTTCTCAAAGAAGGAGTCGCCACGTTCAGATAAGACCACCTGAAATAAAAATTCATTGATATTACTGTGAAGTGGTTAAGTTTAAGGGTATAAGTACATCGGATCCATAGGTTTGAACAATGCTAGTCAACATCAAAAAAGATACATCAAAAAGCGTGGAGCGAATGACGCAGAGCTTGCCCAGCTCGCCCGGAACCGGCTTGGAGTTCTCATTGCACTGGATCAAGCGCGATACGAATGTCTTGAGGCGTCCTTCTACAGTGGCCACGGAAAGAATCAACTCGAAGCTGTTTCCCACCGGAACCTGGCAAAGGACATTTACCATATCCTGCACCTTGTTGGTACACAGTGTCTTTAGCACTCCCGAAAGCGGAACCTCTGCGCGCTTGATGAAGTTTATGTTGGAGGGTGTCTGTTGACCATTGTCGCATTTTTTTAGTAGCTGAGAGGCGACTTCCCTAATGTTAAATTTTAAATCAAGTTTAAAGAATAAGCATGACATGGCATAAAATCAATTTTCTCGACTAACCTTTGACCAGCGAACTTCTTTACATGGACATCGCTTACCAACTGCTGCTTGGTCCAATCATTTAGAAGGAACTCGATCATATTGCACGAGCACTTGGTGTCCATAAAGTCTAGCAGCAGGTTATCCTCAATAAGGAGCTCCAAAGCCTCAACCAACTCAGGTATATAATCTGCTGGCGGTGGTTGCTCCCCGGGAATCCGCTGCAAGGCGTGCAGCTGCTTGATAATGTGCGGCATCTTAAAGAACATAAAAGCACCCCACATGGTGTCCGGACTTGTATCCGCAACATTGCTCAGCGTGAGAAATCCAGCACGAATAATTTCGTAGAAGAGGCGCGTATTTGAGTACATTTTCAATCGCTGCAACATCTGCAGCTCAGCCACGTAGTAGCTGGTATCCTTGCAGGGATTGAGAAGCACTTCAACCGCCAACAAAGGTTGTACACAGCAAGAGATCTTCTCCAGCGTTGAAGGGGGATTTAATGGCTGTATGTCAAGGTGCTTGGCTTCAATATAAGCCAACTGCTGAAGTTGTTGCTCCACGTTCGGCGCATTTAGCGTGAAATTGGAGTTCGTTAGCGATCCTTTGATGCTGGCGTACTTATCCCGAATCCTTCCACATATTTCTAGTTCTTCGTGGCAGCCCACGTACAGCATAGAGAGCAGGAACTGCTGCTGGCTTAGGCGTTCGATCACCACACAGGTCTGATCCAGCATATACGATTGCTCAGCGCTAATCTCCCCATAAAGTTCATAGTGTTGGACGGTTCTAGCAAAGATCTGGAGCAGCCAATAGACCAGATGAACCACTGAGCTCGGTAACACAGCTTCCTCAGATTTAATTCTGAAAACATAATATTACAAATGGTGATAGAACTTCGGGGTCTACAAGACTTACCGGCAGGTTACGCCATCCACTATACTGGCCAAGAACTCCAGAAGCGCTGTGATGCAATAGACGCGCTCTAGTTTATCATATTTCGCAATGCAACGAATAACAGCAGCATGTGAGACAAGATGGGCGCACAGCGAGTGCTTTAGGTAGTTCAGAACCAACTATTACAAATTAAATTGCATATAAGTATAATAATTTATTTAATTAACTTTACTTTACTTTACTCACCGGGTTTGCTGTGGAGCCAATAAGTGCCTGCTGCATCAAGCAATCGGCTAGATTATACACATCGCCACTGACTCCCCTTGGCAGCACCTGAAAAAGTTTTCAACGGGACAAGATATTCATTAGAATACAGTGCTGATGATGACACATTTGCTTTTCCTATCAGACTTTCATAAAATATCGGGTTAATATTCCCATAAAATAAAATACAGAACAACTAGAACATCGAGTTTAGATTTCCACTTATATATTAAACAAAGTTGCATTCTTCTTTTCGCTTCACGTGATGTTTCGATTAAAATTCTTCCGCAGTTCCAGAGAAGCACTGAGCACTTTGATCGGCGGAGCGGCGACGGGGGGCTGCAGGAGGACGGCAGGACCATGCCTGGAGATGGATCGTGCTCCCGCTGTCGCCGCCTGTTGGATCTGGATGCGGTTGGTCAGTCAATATCAATTCCGGACCACAAAACAATCCTATTATCCAGATCGCCAGCGGGAGGTGAAGAGAGCAGCGGCGGGATCAACGCCTCAACAGGTATCGTCTCCGACCGTTAAATCCCCTCAGAGTCGTGGCATGCCGAAGGACTACTACTACAAAGTGCTGGGCGTCAACAAGCACGCCTCTATTCAGCAGATCCGTTCGGCCTTTTATGCGCTAGCCAAGCGTTATCATCCCGACTCCACGCACTCGGAGCAAAAGCTAAAACACTTCCAAGAGCTGTCCAACGCATACAACATTCTCACCGACGAGACAAAACGTTTGGAGTACGATCAGCTAGGCGGGATCAAGGACGAACGCGCCTTTCTCGAACAGGCGGGTAATCCCATGAATGTGGACCTTGAAGAGGCCAAGAAGTTCGAAACGAATAAGACGACAAATGACGGTGAGAAACTATTCAGCGATGATCTCTACTAGACTAAGTATCTAGTAGCTAAGATTAAAGAGTGAAATTTAATGATTTAATCCCCTAGATATCAACAAGTTGAAGAACAACGAGTTTGATTTGCCATTGGACTTCCTGGAGGCCACGGTGGGATGCAAGAAGCGGGTGGACTTGCGATACCTGCGAAAGTGCGAAACCTGCAAGGGAAAGTCGCAGCTGATGGCGCATCGGGATGTGGGCAAGGAACCGTGTAGACGATGCAATGGTACTGGAAAGGTGACCACAAAAACAGCAACCTTTACATCGGTAAACACATGCACACAGTGCCAGGGAAAGCGGTTCACTAATCGCAACGACTGCGAAACCTGCTCGAATCGAGGGTTTGTGATTTCCAGCGTGGAAGTGATGGTAGTAGTTCCTTCCGGATCTCGGGATGGGGATGTGCTAAGCCTGGTTAATCCGGCAACCAAGCAGCAGGTTGCATACCGCCTAACTGTGCCCGGTAGCGAATATTTCCGGCGAGTGGGCAACGACATCCTAACAGACAAGCACCTGAACATCTCTGATGCCATCCTGGGAGGTACATTTCAGGTACGCGGCCTGTACGAAAATGTCGAGCTGCGAGTGGAACCGGGCACTCAGTCGCACACCGAAGTGCTACTTAAAGGCAAGGGTGTGCGTTCCAAGGAAGGTGTGGGCAACCACATTGTCACACTGAAGGTACGGATTCCCAGGAATCTCTCCGTTAAGCAACGCCAGCTGGTTTTGGCACTATCCCAGGCAGAGGATCCAGTTTTCGAGCCCAAGACCAAAGGCAAGGAGGCGGGTATTAAGAGCCCCTAAAATTCTCAATGTACAGGCCTAATTCAGCTTATAATATATTGGCAGACACAAATATTGATCGCTTGGTTAGTTTGATTGGTTGCCTTGCCTTTTTTATGTTAATGCCCCACTGGGAGTCCGACCAGCGTTCGCGCCACGCCACATAGATGAGCTGGAGGATTTTGTTGTTCTCCTTCATCACGCGCGTCGAAGTAATATATGAACTTCGTTTACTTCTCGTATTTTCCGCTATTTGTTTGATTTCAACTTTTTCGGCTGTTTTCTTTTTCGGCACCACCGTTAGTGATGGGCGAAACTTAATGCCGCAATAGAGATGTCACGTTGGACTGAGGCAATCGGTATCGATATATGTGTCAGTGTTAAAAAATTGAACGATTTGCCCGGTAAATAAAGTAACCGAAATTTGAAACTTGGATATTTCAAATGAGTTCAAAAAACGAATTAAAAATGTGCAAAATTATTTATTATTATTGTTTAAAAATCATAAATGCCCAGATTATATTTACATTATGAATCCAATTCAACAACACTCTACGATTCATTTTAATTCAAATAATTTATTGAATACAATAAAGTAGCGTATGAGTTTCATTTGTAAACTGTTTTCTTTTTTAAATATTATGTTCTAAAATATTTGACTTTGTACAAAATATATCCTATTCATATATGCCGAAAATTGTTCCTCCATTGCACACTCCAAATTTTTCGAATTTTTTTTTCACTCATCTGTCGTTTGCTGAATGTTTGATTTGAAATTGAAGATACATAGGTGTGGTGTGTTTGGTGATGTGATTAATCAAAGATATTTTGATTTAAGTAAACAATAGCTAGGCGAGAACTTTACATTTAAATCGAGTTCGGTGGATTGTCAAGGATGAGGGGCTGGTGAAAATATATATAAGCGGTGAAATAAAACTAATTTGCAAAGGCCGTTTATTTTATATAAAAAGCAGGCAACTCAAATATCAAAGTAAATATGTAAATCAGTTTTAAATTATTAATTAACAACTAACTTAAGAGTGTATGACAAAAGCATTTTCTATTCCAATGGCAGCGCCAGGAACGTGGCTTAAAACTAAAAAATTGCTTGGGTAGGGAGAGGCGGTACAAAGGAATTGTTGCTGGTACAAAACGAGGAAGAATCATCGCTGCTGACAACGTTAAGAGCTAAATTAAGTCTATGACCTATTTATTTACTTAAATACGCTTGACGCCACAGAGCCACCGTCGCTAAATTATCATCATCGTCGCCAGTCGCCAAGCATCATCGCAATCACTTTAGCATCATCGTCCTTAGTACTTTGAGGAGTGAGTTTCGTTTACCATCTCTGCATCTGTTATTCTTGATCATTATCCTTGTCTAAGCGGAGGAGGAGGAGGGTCCGGCGGGCTCGTCTCCCTTTACGGCCGACGCATAGGAGCCACCTGGTTTGTCGCCAACGGAAACAGCAGCCACGGACTTGGCATCGACAGCACTCCCACCGGCGCCTGCTCCGCCAGCAACTCCGCCACCGGGCGGAACGCCGGCTGCTCCGCCAATGCTCACGCCACTGTTTAGGCCTAGAGTTTGAGGTGAATCAACTAGAGAATTTGTTTCGATTGTGGGTTTGGTTGGGATGTGTGTGAGTGTGAAGTGTGTGCGAGAATCGAACTGTTTAAGCACCTTTGATATCCATGGCGTAGTGGTCCTCCAGTCGCAGGTCGTGCCTCTTTATCAGCTGACACTCTGCGCCTTCTACGGTTGGAATGGAATACACGTACAAGTATCCATCCTGCGAGGCAACCAGCAGACTGCAAAGGCAAGAAGAATAGGGATCTGGTTAAACTGTACTGTAGAGATATGCTTTCAGGTCAATTTGCACTTCAAAGTTATATGCCAATATAAGAAAAGAAATATTCGAAGAATTCCTTCTTGAACCGGAAAAATTATGAAGAACACAGTTTCTTACTTTCCGCGGAAAGGTAGAAAAGATGTACCCAAGTTAATAATAATTCTGAAAATTCATGAATACATCATAGGTATATAGAATGATAATGGTAACCTTGGACTTATACAGATCCTTCTTCTGTGCAAATTGACCTGCAGGACAAAATCGATCATAAACTCACCGTAGCTGCTTTTGTATCGTGGTTATGGCGCACATCCTCCGAACACCCGCCTCCGGCAGAGTGACCGAAGCGAAGGCCCGGCCCTGGCTAAACACATCGGTCACCTGCGTTGGCAGGTAGCTGGTGACAGTTTTGCTCAAGAATCTAAAAAACGAGTAACTTGCATGAGAGAGTACATTTTGGTGAGTGGTTGAGTTGTGGTTGTTGTTGTTGAGGTGGTTGGTTGGTTCGTGTTTGGTGGTTTCGCAAAATGAAAGAAAAGAAAAATAGATAAATGTCAAGTGCCACACGAGAAATAGACGAAAAATCAAAAATGCATAAAACCTACTCAAAAAATACTCAGATCTAGTTCCGCTATTTAAGTTCATTTTTTAAATTCTTAACTGACGTGTTCAGTAGATTTTCACTGTCTGGTTTCCAAGATCATTTTACTTTCTGTACTTAAAAAGTTTTTTGACAGGGTCTTTATTATTTACTTGGGCAAACATTAGCTCTGACCTTTAAAACACTATTATTTTTGTTAATAAAGTTGAAAAAAAGGTTTAATGTATAGATATAAAAATATGGTCAATGCATACAACAGATCAAATCAACAACGATGATAGGATATGAGATAGTATTTTATAGCATATGAAATATGTACAATTTGGAGACAAGACACAAAATTATAATGAAAGCCATGTATGATAGTAAATGGGATTGAAACGTAATACTTTGGGGATAACAGTGATTATTTACAGATCACCCACACCTCAGTAATTGATCTTTGGCCATTACCGCACAGTACAGTAAATACAACTATCTACAAAGCTACTATACAGATATTGAGTTATTCAAATCCAAAACCGCTTACCCCATCCAGTCGTCGCTCGACTGTTTTCCACCATGACCTTCGGCCGACTCTGTGGCACTGCGATCCAGCCGGAAAATGTGCACCGTCTCCGTATTGGAGCTGGACACCAGATACTCGGCACATGTGCTAAATGACAGCGAAACGATGGACACACATCGCTTGAGTCCTCGTCGCAACTCAAAGAGCCGACTGCCATCCTGGGAGCTAAAGACTCGGATGACGGTTCCACGCTCGCTAGCCGTGGCTATTTCTGTGCCCGATGGACTGAAGGCCAAAGCAGCCAACGGTGTGTCGTGAGCGGGAATCATAGTTTTGGCGTGCAAGTTGATGGCATCGAAGATCTGAACCTCGCCGGCGGTGACGCTGCCCGGGTAGGCCAAGTAACAGTGTTCCGAGGACGACGAGAGGGCGCACAGGCCCTGTTGATTGCACGGCGTGTCGCGGATAGTGTGCACCACTTTCATGTCCTGGATATTATGGATGTACAGAGACTCCTCCAAGCACACGATCAAGCGTTCGCGATTCAGTTTCACCGCCAAAATAGTATTTGCATACGAGTAGTTGCATATCTCGCTTTGCTTTTTGAAGTGGCACACCTTCAACTTGCGAGGGGCTCGCTGGGAAACTATAGCTACTAGAGAGCTCTCAAACAGCCGCTCGATGAGGAACAGCTCGTCGCTCTTTGTGTGATATATCTTGTCTAGAGTCGAATCCACGGAGCCAAGGCTGTACAAGCTGTAGCCGCCACTGGTGGCCACGGCCAGAGAACTGCAAAGGCGACAAGTGTTCTTAGTATTAGGTTTTGTTTATAATGCACTTGACTATGAGTCACTAAGAAGTCTATACCTTGTACCGAAGTGTATACCTAATGTCTGCCTAATAAAAAACATAAAAACAACAAAACAAAAACAGTTGTATTTATTTTAGCATGCTGGTTGTATTAACAAAAAAATATTCAGCAATATTGATATTTAATCGGTGTAAGTCTTAAGAATAGCGATAAGAGCATTATTAAAAAGGTATTAATAAATAATATTCTGCCTTGCTCCAGTTTAAAATTAAAAACCTGATCGTAAGAAATGTATATTTTTAGAATATTGATAAGACCCCCTAAAGGGACTAACGTTTTGCTTGACTTATCCGTTATCTTTTAATAAAAAAAAAACAAACAATTTGATAGAAGTTTAACAAAGTATAGAGTTTAAAGTAAATTTAAAAAACGAATCAAAACTGATTTTTAAACTATTTATTAATTTGGGGACTTGGCCAACCTCAGCTAATCTCTTTTCTTGTATTGGCTCTTAAATCGAATGGCCACTGTAACTTACGTTATGTTTTGGTTGAAGTTGACGAACACTTCGCCCGCATCCACATCGGGGCGCCCGAGCAGGCTCATCATGGTGGCTGTGTGGGAGTGGCTGGGGTCCTGCAACAGTTTGGGCGTAAATCGTTAGCAATATTAACTATTCTGGCATATGTATATCCCGATTTACCGATGGCGCATTACGGAATGGCGAATGGCGCAAACAAAGCGTGGGCCAAAGCAATAAATATATGTTAATAAATACAATAACAAACTCTGCATGAGTGTGTGTACACTTTTTGGGGCTGCTGATAAAACCAACAACAACAAACAAAACACACACTTACACACACTCTTGCGACATATACAATACGTGACTGGGTATCGTTTATTTTTACCTCTTTGTATCTCTAACACCTGTGTTTTTGTCTTTTAAATACTCGCAGGACACCGATGACGACTAGTTGTTGGCTAAAAGACGTTTACTTAACTGACGCTACGTAATATTTAATGGTATTTGGATTTCTTGTCGCGCAATTGTTTTTGCTCTGTTTTGCACACACACGCACACAGACCAGCACCCACACAAACGCAAGACGAACAGCAACAGAATGAACCAGGGAGTGAGAATCAAATTGCAGAGTTGCATTCGCCAGTGCTGAAAAGCATCGACCGTATTCAAAGGGAAGATACACTGTCCAAAATCATATAACAATTTTTTACTGATACTGAACAGGAAATATTTCAAACTTAGATTTAGATAACAGTTTATATGTTAATCATAAAGTTTTTAAAGGATTAAGAACATTTGTTTTAGACACATTTATTCCTATATCGTTATTTAATATGTTTGTTTATAATTACTCTTAGCTCACGAAACAGTTATATATCTCTTGAAAATAAATTTAAATATTTGATTTGAAAGGTTTTTTAGTTTTGAATAAGAACCAGCGACTTCCGCTATTAATGAACTAGCATTGTAAGCAGCCCTGTCCAGGTATTCTAGTGATCGCCAGCCCTAGTCAGGTCTGGTTCACACAAAAAAAAAATAAAATTACATTTCCATCCTTCGAATAAGCAAATATCTTGGGTTTCCGCAAAAAGGGGATGCAGATAACAAATATCTACTAAGTAATGTGATGTGTGCCTGCGCAAAACGACAATTCGTGCCTTTCTCCAGTGAAAAATCGAAATCCAGACGGACAAAATCGATGCAGATGCTGTCTACATTGCTCGACCATTCTTATGGAAAGTGCAATTGAATTGCTCTTCAAAAAGCCATGATGTTCAAGCCCCGTAACAAAAGCTGTGAAAACAACTAGTAAATAAACACTGAAGACTCGAATTTCGAAAGATGCATAAAAACGAAAACAAAAGCAATAACAAGGTGCTCGAATCGGACCAAAATAAATACATACAGACTATCGCGGAGGCCAATATGTATTGACGTTGTTGCCGCGCTAAAGTAGAGCTGATTACACAAAAGATCCTCAAAAATATTTTATGTAAGTATGTAAACAGATACGGACAGGCCCACCTTGGGCCATAATCGTCTGGCTTCGGCTTCCCGGGGGCTGATAACGAAAGAGTGCTTATCTTTCATCTGCAACCTGGCTGATGTCGTCCACAGTCGACTTACTACACCACTACTACCCCCCATTGTCTTCGCCAGCGCGCGTTTTATACCCTTTCTTATAGTCTTATGACCATGGTATTATCTTTGCTAGTTTCGAAACTAGAACATATCCACTTTTAGTATGAAAATCCTGAAAGAAGTATATGATTATTCTATTTGTATCAGATTTCAGTCCATCAATTTAATACATATGTGCAGTTAATATTACTATATTTGTTCTGGCTGAAATCACTTTTAGATTAAAAAAAATTAATAGATAAGCAAAAGTGATTAGAACAAAGGCAAAATAATTACGTTTAAGTAAATATATTGATTAGTACTATAATTTGTATAAAAATCTAAGGGTATTAAATTCTCGAACTTCTCTCGCTCCCTTTTCCATTTTTAATATATTTCGCTTATGTCTAATCAATGTCAGCTCTGTGCGTCGTGATTTGTAGTACTAACGGTACTGGAAGGTACTCCACGCACAGTACCGTTATCGCACTCCTAGTGCTCTGTTCGGTTTTTTTAATTCAGTTCTGTTCCGTACTTTTCCACGACCACCGATGAAGTTCTACCCAGGAGAAGGGTACAGTAATGAGTTTACATATTCTGGATTTACGATCACAACCCATTGCACTGTCCGCAGTTTGTTTTGGTTTTTGCTCGCCTTAATTACAATTACATTTTGCATTCATTAAGAATTCCGTGACCAAGTTTCGTGTGACTAGCCAGCACAGTGGGTAAATTTCAAAACCCCATTCATAAGTGCTGATAACAACGGCGGTATCACAATTTCCACATTTACGGGCCATACTCACCACTGTGCAGCGCGTACTATTTGACATTTAGCAAAAGCGATCACTATCGCAATGATTTAGCGTAATTTAACGTGTTTCCCACATTTGTAACCCCTTGGATTTTCATGTTTTCCTTCTTTTAGAGGGATAACACGAAAAGAGATTGCAATTATTTTGATGTCATAATTTTTGATAAAGTGATTTTTACCATATTAAAGGCGTTTATTCCCTTCTTAATATCTCCATATTTGTGCCCTAAGGAATATATGTATGTTCGGCATAGCTTTTAAACTTGATTTTTCTAAGCTCATAAACTGTTTTTGTCACAGTCAAGGCTCGAATATGTCCGACGGCGTCAGCATCTTGCACATAAAGCAGGAGGTGGACACTTCTTCAGCGGGCGGCGGACCCCCCTGCTTCAGTCCCAGCTCCAAATCAACGGCCACTCAGAGTGGGACCAACGGCATGAAGTCATCACCCTCAGTTTCACCGGAGAGACAGCTCTGTAGCTCGACGACCTCCCTCTCCTGCGACCTGCATAACGTATCCCTAAGCAATGACGGAGATAGCCTAAAAGGAGGTGGAGCCGGCAGTGGAACTAGTGGTGGCGGTGGTGGAGGAGGAGGTGGAGGTACCAGTGGAGGAAACGCCAGCAATGCAAGTGCCGGAACAGGATCCGGATCAGTTCGGGATGAGCTTCGCAGGCTGTGTTTGGTTTGTGGGGATGTGGCCAGTGGATTCCATTATGGCGTCGCCAGCTGCGAGGCGTGCAAGGCATTTTTTAAGCGCACCATCCAGGGCAACATTGAGTATACCTGCCCGGCGAACAACGAGTGTGAAATCAACAAGCGGAGACGCAAGGCCTGTCAGGCATGTCGATTTCAAAAGTGCCTGCTCATGGGCATGCTTAAGGTAATTACTAAGTAAAAAATTTAAATTATTGAATACTAATTGTTTTCTGGCTTTTTAGGAGGGCGTGCGTTTGGATCGAGTGCGTGGTGGGCGGCAGAAATACAGACGCAATCCCGTTTCTAACTCATACCAGACTATGCAATTGCTCTACCAATCCAACACCACATCGCTTTGCGATGTAAAGATCCTGGAGGTTCTCAACTCCTATGAGCCAGATGCGTTAAGCGTCCAAACGCCGCCACCGCAAGTGCATACTACGACCATTGCTAATGATGAAGCCTCATCTTCCTCGGGCAGCATCAAACTGGAATCCAGCGTTGGAATCACGCCAAATGGGTCTTGCATTTTCCAAAACAATAATAACAATGATCCCAATGAGATTCTGAGCGTTCTGAGCGACATTTACGACAAGGAGTTGGTCAGTGTGATTGGCTGGGCCAAACAGATACCTGGATTTATAGATCTGCCCCTTAATGATCAAATGAAGCTACTCCAAGTGTCGTGGGCAGAGATTCTTACTCTCCAACTGACCTTCCGGTCCTTACCGTTCAATGGTAAACTATGCTTCGCCACAGATGTCTGGATGGATGAGCTATTGGCTAAGGAGTGCGGCTACACGGAGTTCTACTACCACTGTGTACAGATTGCGCAGCGCATGGAGAGGATTTCGCCACGGAGGGAGGAGTACTACCTGTTGAAAGCACTTCTTTTGGCCAACTGTGACATCCTACTGGATGACCAAAGTTCGTTGCGAGCATTTCGCGATACAATTCTCAATTCTCTTAACGATGTTGTGTACTTGTTGCGACATTCGTCAGCTGTGTCGCATCAACAACAGTTGCTTCTGCTGCTGCCTTCGATGCGGCAGGCTGATGACATCCTGAGGCGATTCTGGCGGGGAATTGCACGCGATGAAGTCATCACCATGAAGAAACTCTTCCTCGAGATGCTCGAGCCGCTAGCCAGGTGAAAAAGATTAGGCGACCGGCCAACCTAGTTGATCTAGCTGATAAGCAAAGGTGCAAATATAGTCTTAAGTTGGACGTATACTAACGTATATTAAGCGTAGGATAAGCCATGTACATAGATAGTAAAATACTTGTCGGGTAAGATTAGTTTGCAGAGAAAAACCTCTTTTTAATGACCTACCAACTACAGCAACTCAAAACCCTACTTAAGCCTAGAATCGGGCCATTTTTACGATGGATACAGGCGCAAACCGGTGTTGTATGTCTACCATTTTAAATGAGTCACAGTTCTCCAATATTTTGTTCAATTCAATTCTCACTGGTTTTGATATGCGGTTCATAACCTGCTGATGGTGTTTTTTAGTTTTATGTATCCCAGTGATTTTAATGATTATGTGGTACATTTGCGGTCAAATAAAATAGCACCTTAAGTCCTTATACAATAATTTAACAGAATATGTAATATTTGCATAGCCCTTAAAGTTTTCCATTTGTGTGGAATTGTTTGATAGTTATCAGTTTTCTCTTGGTTTTCTAGTAAGGTTCACTTTAGGTCTTTAAAAACAATTATGTTATTAAGTTCATTTAAATAAATGTGAAATTTTCATATATATACTTTTTAACGAAATTTTCCAATTTCAGTGCTATAAATTTGATCGCATTTGTACGTTATTGGATCCCAATTCCTTACAACAAACATTATGTTAATTGGTTAGTTACATCTGAAAACTTTACACAAGGAACCATGCTCATGACGTAAAAGATATCGCCTGGTCCTTAAACTTACAATTAGTGCTATCGATGGTCATATTTACATTTGCAGACTAGAGACGTTGCATTATCATCAACTAAAACTTAACCCAGTTAATGTTACGGTGCGTCAAAGTACTTGTTAGAGCTTTCTTGGAAGCGATCACTGCGCGCCAGTTCGTTGCGGAAATAGGAGATGGTTCGCTGCAGCCCAGTCTCAAGAGGAACTTTTGGTTCCCAGTTAAGAAACTGCCGGGCACGAGTAATGTCCGGTTTCCTGCGCTGTGGATCATCCTCCATTGCCTTAGTTTGTTTTATCACACTGGGACCGCCGACCAGATGCTTAATGATCTCTGCAAATTCGCCGATTGTCTGCTCCACCGGGTTCCCCAAATTTATCGGTTGCGTGTAGTTGGATCCCATCAATGATATCATGCCATCCACCAAATCCGAAACGTACTGAAAGGAGCGGGTTTGCTTGCCATTACCATACACCGTAATGGTTTCATTTCTAAGCGCCTGTAGTATAAAGTTCGAGACTACGCGTCCATCGTTCATATGCATCCTGGGCCCATAAGTGTTGAAGATGCGAGCCACACGCACCTGCACCTTTTCCTGACGATACACAGATAGAGAATGAAGGAAATTAATTTGAGTTCCAGATTGGCAGAGAAATATGGTCAGTGGTCGCGATTCATAGTTTTATCTCGTGACAAGCATTCGAGCGGAACGGCAATTAATGGAATTCCAATTGAGATCATTTAATGCCCGGCTACCGATCAAATCAGGAAAGATCTGCTTCATTTTTAGATCCAAGCAATACTATTATGTTATTTTCCACTACGGCATAAAGGAATGTGGCTTGAATGAAATGTATTATAGCTAATGACTACTTTGATTTTTATATTTTTGTATTTTCTTTGTTCAAATGAGCGTTATATATTGCAAATGCTTGTTAGATGTAGGCTTCTTTGTTTGATAAAAAATAATGTGATTTGGGGTTGGGCTGATTGGGATATGTTGACAGTAACTCCCCCGCTGATAGCGATAAAAAAAACAAACGAATTAAATTAAGGGGTGTCGGGGCATATATGTTACCTGTTTGGCGTACGCATAGCTGAGAGTTTCGGAGACACGCTTTCCTTCGTCGTAACAGGCCCTTGGTCCAATAGGATTTACGTGACCCCAGTATGTTTCCGGCTGTGGATGTACCGTGGGATCACCGTAAACCTCCGAGGTGCTGGCTATCAAAACTTTGGCCATTACGCGCTTGGCCAAGCCTTTTTTTTTAATTTCATCAGCAAAATTCATTGTCACATTTTAACCCTTTAAGTTTATTTTTACTTACCCAGCACATTGATGGTGCCCATGGTATTGGTCTTGATGGTCTTCACCGGGTTGTACATATAGTGTGGGGGCGAAGCTGGCGATGCTAGGTGATAGATCTCATCAATTTCGATGAAAAGCGGATTAACGATGTCGTGGTGGATGAGCTCGAAGTTCTCGTGACCCAGCCAGTGCTCTACATTACGTTTGCGTCCCGTAAAGAAGTTGTCCACCACAATGACCTCATGACCCTGGATCATCAGATCGTCAACCAGGTGGGAGCCTACGAAGCCAGCTCCTCCGGTAATCAGGATGCGCTTACGGTTCTTGTAGTTCAGATACTTAACCTTTGGATATTTGCGAGGAGTACTGGTCTGCAAACTGCGAATCTGTTCCTCCAACTGGGCTAGGTGTTCTCTGGTTCGCTGCAGTTCGGCTTTCTGTTCCCGGATCAGGGAACTCTGCTCCTCGTAGGCCATCTGGAGGCTCCTCTGAAGTGGATTCTCCGTGGGAGGCCAACGGGCCTGGGCTTCGTCACCGTTGCTTATGGAAATGGAGGACATTCCGCCCGCCGAAACCCTGACCGCCCGGTATAGGTAGACCAGGAGCAGGAGGACCAGCGAGGTGGCCGCCACGATCTTTAGGCGCTTCTTGGTGGCAGTCATCGTCGTTTAAAAATTGTGTGTCTTAGGGTTCCAGTGCTTATCAGCAACTGATACCGCCACATTGCATTTTCGTCCGGCTTTAGAAACTATATAAACAATACAGCGGATGTTATCATGTAAGAGTGGCCAGGGGGCTTGAACTGAATTCCAGCACATACTTAGTGCCTAACGCCAAATTATGAAAAGCTTGCAAAATCTGGCGCCTAATTTAAAAACGAAAACTACGACGTCTTGAAGGTTTATGACTCTTAGGAAGTATATTCAACTAATAGGTGATAGGGGAATTAGAAATTATTTTCCGTCGTTTCAACAAAATTAATCGGTGGCAAAGGAATAAGCCATTATCAAGTTAACACTTAAATAGGTTGAAAATATATATAATTCACATAAAAACACTCAAACAAGAAAGCCGCAATATAATATAATAATCACGCTATAAGAAAATTGTTCCGACATTGTTTCGTTATAATGTAGTGGGTCCCAAAGAAAGGCTATTTAAACTGTAAACTAAAGCTATCGAGCTACAGTTTGTTCAAGTTCTCAGTGTTGAACGTTCTTATATTTAACATGAAGTTCCTGTTTAAATTTTTCTTCTTCGTCCTTATTCTAATTATTGTGAAGAAATCAAGGACAGATAAATTTGACTGTAACTACTACGACACGGTTGATATCTCACATATTGAAATGCAAAACAATACATATCTATATGATGACCACCTAATTCCTGCTAACCTGACTGCAGAGTATGATATCAGGCATTTTGGGGACGGATCCACAGCGCCGGTAAAGAAGCATTTAAGAGCTTGCGTATGTGCAGTGTATCCCTGCATTCGAATCTGTTGCCCCCGCAAGAATATGTTGGCCCATGGCAATTGCGATGATGGTTTAAAGGATGAACTGGCTCAGCTAAAACCATACATCTACCTTACGACGATGAATCAAACAATGGAGGCGCGTTTCTCATTCGACGAGATGGTGGTTATTAGGGATCAGTTTTGGGAATGTGATAAAGTTCGGAATCTAAAGAACGACGAGTACGCCTTATTATTGGTTAGCTAAAAAAAAACTATAATTTTTTCAACTGTATAATGCTATTTTTCAGGATGGAACCTTATTAACTATTTACGGATACTTGGAAATACAGGACTACTGTATATATCCTCATAATTTTAATAAGGACTTTCCAAAGTCGATATGGATAGTAAACCACTCTTGCACAACCCATTTACCAGCAGGATTTCGCGAGAGTAACAATAATCATAGTTACTTACAAAATTATTATTTCACTTAACGGTTTTAAAATTTTACAGTCAATATTATATCACTGATATGCTTTTTTCTAACGATCGCCGTATATCTTTACGTTAAGGATCTTCGGAACGTGAGTGGAAAGTGCCTTGTATGCTGCATACTTTGCAGGTTCATCCAGTATTTAATCTTATTACTGGATAGTTTAGACCTATTAACCGGCATTTGCTCTCTGGCAGGTTAGTTGAATTCATAATTTGGAAAAATATACATATGTCAAATCATTTTTCTTCAATGCAGGGTACAGTTCATACTTCTTCCGGATGGCTTCTATTCTCTGGCTATCTGTGATCAGCTACCATATGTGGGTTTTAATTACATCGCTCAATCGTAATGAACCCAGTTATCGGTTCCTTAAATACAGCATTTTCGTGTGGATTACGTCTGCCATCATGACAGGCTTAATCTATCTCATTAATAGAATGTGGGAAAATGATGTCTCTAAATGGAATTGGTTGCCCTTGGTCGGATTTATTCAATGCTCAGTAAAAGGTATAATTTTATTTTAATTACAGCTAACACCGCAACAAATTCCATATTCTCTATCGTTTTAGAATGGAATTCTTCTTCTTGGGTGTACAGTAGTGGTCCGACTATGATTCTAAGTACTTTCAATGTCATCATGTTTATCCTGACCGCCATTCACATTTGGAAAGTTAAGAGTGAAATAAGAAAGTTAGATTATCGGCGAGGAAGACAGGTAAACTGTCTTAATTTCGACAGCGAGACGTAAGCCCAATGTACGTTGATAAGCAAGGATAATAATTAGGTTTGTTTTATATATTGCAGTTATTTACTATTTGTGCGACTGTCCGTAATGATGGGCCTGTCTTGGATCATGAATGTAATTCCGTTTTCAGCGCGGTTAAATTTTGTTTGGGAGCACGTCCTTCTGATATCTGATTACTATCATTGCGGTTTTGGGATAGTCATTTTTTCGATATTTATTCTAAAACGCAGCACGCTTAAGCTACTTGTTAATTCATATCATTGTATCAGATGTAGAAAAGCCTGATCTAAATGAAATTTATTACGGTTTTCAAAACACATTTCTCTGAGGAATGTCGCAAATATATTTTTAAAATGTATATAAATCACAATTATGTTAAAAAAAAAAATATATATATATATATATATAAAACCACGAAAACATTTTGAAAAAAGAAAAAATAAATGTATTCAAAAGTTTAAAGTGTGTTTTCGCACTTCTAACCGTTAACCAGTTGGTACTAGTTATAAGCTTTTTGATTAGCTCGCTCCTGGTCACACTGCTTTTTGAGTCAGCTGCTTGTAGTTTTGCGATTTCATTGCAATTATAATTTGCTAAACTATTTAAACAGAAATACAGTGCAGAATATGCCGAACGAGAACGCGGACGACCGCTCTGGTCAGGAGCTAAAGCAGAAGGCTAAGGAGGTGGCAGAAGCTTCGGAGGAAATGCTTGAAAAGGTTGTTGCCGGCTTAAAGATCCAGGACACGGGATCCGCGGATATAGGCACAAATGAGGACTCTGAGCGAGCTGATGTTGCCAAGAATAAGGCTTCAGTGTCGTCGGATGCAAGTAAGTTGTCCTCATGCCGAGAAAAGACCCTTTGGAGGCACCTCCTTAGGGTTGAAAGAATGAGGTTAGGTTTTGTCGGAAACTACAGTACAACATCATTAGCTTGAATTTTAGTAATATTAATCATACAATAAATGTTTTTATCTATTTGGTCTGTTTCAAAGATTAAGTGTATTTGAACTATAAATATTTGTTTCAGTCTGCAAGCAAGCAGATTTATATGGTGTTGGAAATTTTAATGTGAAATACAAAAATTATAAAGTGTGTTCATGAATCATAAATATATTTATTTTAAAACTATCTGAACATATGTATGTACATCCAGAGCTTGACAAAATAAAAAAAAATATATAAATAACAGAATCTTACTAATCTTTACTGACTTATAGAATTGGGATTTCGTTAATTTAATTGCTATCAAATACATTTTAGACACCCTATTTTGGTAGCTTGCTGTCAATCGTAATAAAACGAAACTAGTTCACTGTCATGTTGCTTCAGTTTTTCAGGCGATTGATTTGACATCCGAAAATTAAGCAAGAACGACAAAACTATTTGCTAAATACGAATACACACATACATATGTAGCTGAAAAGTTTTTGTTTATACTTGGACAGCATAATAGTATATTAAAATCGATACTTTGTTTCCTTTTCAGGCACGCAGGCTCTGATACAGGCCGTATCTGATGCCGTGGCCAGCAGCCGCCAGATGGCGAAAAAATTCGCCTTCTGGTCCACACAGCCAGTTACCAAGCTTGATGAACAGGTGACCACCAATGAGTGCATCGAACCTAACAAGGAGGTTAGTGAGATCCGAGCGGAGCCCTACACTCTGCCTGGCGGGTTCAAGTGGGTGACACTAGACCTGACCGACGCCAATGATCTCAAGGAGCTATACACACTGCTTAACGAGAACTACGTGGAAGACGATGATGCCATGTTCCGGTTTGATTACCAGCCAGAGTTCCTTAAGTGGTCGCTGCAACCGCCTGGATGGAAACGCGACTGGCATGTGGGCGTACGTGTGGAGAAGTCCGGAAAACTAGTAGGCTTCATCTCGGCCATTCCCAGCAAGCTGAAATCGTACGACAAAGTTCTCAAGGTAGTGGATATTAACTTCCTATGCGTTCACAAGAAGTTGCGCAGCAAGCGCGTTGCCCCTGTCCTGATCCGTGAGATCACGCGTCGAGTCAATCTGACGGGGATATTCCAAGCAGCTTACACGGCTGGTGTGGTCCTGCCAACTCCTGTGGCGACTTGTCGCTATTGGCATCGCTCCCTTAATCCCAAAAAGTTGGTGGATGTACGCTTCTCGCATCTCGCCCGAAACATGACTATGCAGCGCACCATGAAGCTGTACAAACTACCCGATCAACCTAAGACGAAAGGATATCGGCGGATTACAGCAAAGGACATGGATAAGGCGCATAAACTGCTGGATGACTACCTGAAACGCTTTCAACTGAGCCCGGTGTTCAGCAAGGAGGAGTTTCGTCATTGGTTTACGCCCAGGGAGGGTATTATCGACTGTTTCGTGGTGGCCGACGAGAAGGGAAACATCACTGATCTGACTAGCTACTACTGCCTGCCATCGTCGGTGATGCACCATCCGGTTCATAAGACGGTTCGTGCAGCGTATTCCTTTTACAATGTGTCCACAAAGACACCTTGGCTGGACTTAATGAACGATGCACTGATCTCGGCCCGCAATCTTCAGATGGACGTGTACAATGCTCTGGACCTTATGGAGAATAAGAAGTACTTTGCGCCACTAAAGTTCGGCGTCGGGGATGGCAACCTGCAGTACTACCTCTACAACTGGCGCTGTCCATCGATGCAGCCGGAGGAGATTGCCCTGATACTCATGTAGGACCCCTCAAAACCTATGTTTACATTGTCGCCCTGCCTTTCGCCGCACTCCCTCTTCTGCTTTATTCATCCCGCTGGATGTCCCGTGCGATTGCTTTGCTTGGCTTCTATCCACGTAGCTATTACCTGTAATCTTCAGTTATTCCAGCGAGGGAAACCCTTTGCGAGTCATTTATACCTACCTAGAATCATTGTGAAAACTGCATTTTGCAACGGCCAAGCTTGGATATTTTTTACTATAAAAACGAACACAAATTGAATAAAATGCGCAGCAATATCTATAAAATTGTGATTTTCGTTTTTAAACAAAACATGCAGTTAATACTCTAAATCATTTTAAGACACTGAAGTAGTTCATCTTTATAACAAAATTTGTTTATTTTATTTTAATCAGTTTAGCTGTATTTTTGCCCATTTCCTCTGATCGCGATGTCTGGCAACTCTTTCTCCTTAGCATTGGTCCGGCAAGGCCGGAAAAAAAGCGCGCGCTCAGCGAAAACAGCTGCACTTGTTGGCTTATTAAGTGACAACATCTCGTACCAAATGTTTGTATTTTAATATTTTGTAACTTAATATATCCAACAAGATGGACGATTCTGCCTTCAAGTTGAAATACCAGAAGTACAAGCTGCGGGTCAAGCTCTGGGAAAAGGATTTCAAAAAAAAGAATGGCCGAGTTCCATCAAAGGTAAAATTTGGTTTATGATACCAAAAATAAAGATGTAAAGTTATTCTAAATTGATATGTTCTGACAGTATGATATTCGGGAGGCCAGCCAGGAGATACGCGACTCCTACAAAATGTACTACAAGCTAAAAACATCTTTCCTAGAGGAAACCCTGAACGATGTTCTTAGTGAAGACGGATACGATATCCTGGAGATGTCACAGGCCAGCGATCTGGGTGTGAGCATGCTGGAACCAGATATGAGCGTAAATGGAGGCCCCCGACTTCCAATGGATATATCCGCGTTGGTGGAGCCACAAATCTCTGACAAACTGCCCGAGATTCCGACGTCGGCGGAAGGTTCCTTTTCCAATATCCAGGAGCTGCCCAACCGTCAAGTGCTCACCAATCTTGTTAATCGCGATGAGAACCATGTAATTCGCAAATTTGAAGCAGTAGAAGAGCTGCCAATCAATCAAAATGCTTGGGGAGCGGGTGTCAGCAAGAAACCAGCACCTGCAGCATATCCCCTTGAGGCTACCGTTTCAGCTCCATTGCAGGACAAGCAGTCCAAGCCGGTTACTAGTCTTAAACCTAGCTTGAGCGCAAAGTTATTCCAGTCTACGCGCGGATTTGCCAAGCGAAATCCCCGAAAGCCGCTGTCTCACAGTTCCGTCAATACCTCGACTAGTTCCGTTAGCTCAGTATCCACAAATCCGGTAGAAGAACTTCCTGATTTTGAAACCATACTAATACGTAAGGCCAAGGAGTACAAGGAAAAGGAGCTGGCCTTAGCTACAAATCCACATCTGACCGGCGATCACATCAAGGAAACCATAAAAACCCATGTAGACGATGGCTGGCTGCAGCGAAATACCAAGGAGAACACTCTTGAGGTGGATACGCCTTTTGCGGAAGCAAATAATAATAGAAGTTCTCCAAAGAAAACCAACTTTGGACTGGCAAATCTTGATCTGAGTAAACTGAAGCCGACTTTAAAAAAGGAACAGCCGCTACAGGTTAAGACTGAACAGGTTGCAAGCACACAGGTTTTCCATACAGCTAACAGTTCTATTATAAGCCAAAACACGGCTCCTCTAGGTCAAACACCTTCCGCATCCACCCACAAATCGCCTACTCCTAAACATAAGCCACGACCTGTACGGCAGGAGACGGAATCGGATTCCGATTCTGTGGTAGCTGAAAGTGATGAAGAGCCGGAGGCCGAAGAATACCGACAGCTGGCCAAACGTCGCAGGATTATGCCAACATCTTCAGGAACCAGTAAAGCACTAGCTTCAGCTGAAATACCCAAACCAGTTGAACAAGAAGTTTTGACTTGCAGAGATCCAGATGATAAATATGCTTTGGATTTCTCCGCTGATGATGATCAAGATGCTTCATACGAACCGGAGAAAGGCAAGAAAGATAAGACGAAGCGCAAGCAAGCTGCGGGCAAACGAAAGACGGCTAAACCTAAAGCGGAACCAAAGCCAAAAGCTGAAAAGAAACCCAAAATCAAAGCTGAGAAAAAACCGAAGCCTGAGAAGAAGCCAAGGAACACTAAGAAATCTACTGCTGAGGAACCTGTTCCTGAAGAGAGCCAACCTTTAAATCCCGAAGATCTGAAATATGTACTTGCTTTGGAGGCAGGAGATATTACCTGTGTTCCTCGCATTAATAAGCAGGAGCTGGAAAATGCAGATGCAACCGCTCAACGGTATATTAGCACCTTCGCAACTGGAACTGTGGCACGATCAACAGAAGGATCGAATATCCAAGTGGATGAAAAGCGAGCTGCAGCACGAAAGAAATTGGAGGAACGAGTTGCCTCTGGTAAACTCAACGAGAACTTTGTAACCATTAACATTCAAAAGAAAAAGTTTGTACGTGGCAAAAAGTCAGTGAACTTCAGTAAATACAAAAAACAGCAGTGGCGGCAAAAGAAACGTGTGGCTGCCTTGAGTGGACCCGATATGGACATGGGTGGGTGTGATGGCGGAGTGCTCACTTGCTTCCAGTGCGGCGGTGTCGGACATTTCGCACGGAATTGCAAGGTTAAGGGAGATAGCTTGTTGCCTTTATCAGGTCAACTTGAGGAGGATCCCTCCCCATTCCCTACGCTCGCCGAGGCCCAAGAGATGGCCAGTCAGGGTGCAGTGGTAGCTCACAGTCGAAATATCTTAAGATTACCAGAAGCTGCCAACTCCGCCATTTTGCAAGGTGAGGAATCCGATGAATCAGAAGAAGAGGTCAAAGAAAGCAGCGGTGATGAGGATGGAGAAATGCATCCAGATCCAGATTGGTCTGACGAAGATGTTAACATCGACTTTGAAGCCCTGGATGCTGCCGTGGAAGCCTCGCAGAGTCAACCGGATTCCCAAGAGAAAGCACTTTCACCTATTAAGAAATACGTAGGGCACAAGATTCCCGAAGAGTTTCTCAAGCAGGCTGGCCTGGACCCCAATGCTGCTACATCGAATCGTAGTCAGCACGGTGGAGTAAAACCTTTATACGATCTCCTGCCAGATGGAAGTGTCCAGGACACCACACCCGAAGTGTTGGAAGCATTACACATGTTCGGTCACAGTAATTTCAGAAAGGGTAAGCCAAACTTGTATTCACATTTTCCTTAAATTATTTTCATTACTGTTACAAGGTCAGGATCGAGCTATCATGCGCACTCTGTCTGGGCTCTCATCGCTTGTCACACTTAGCACGGGCAGTGGCAAATCTCTGTGCTATCAACTGCCTGCCTACTTATTTAGCCGTAAAATGGGAGCCATTACACTGGTAATTTCGCCGCTGGTGTCTCTTATGGAGGACCAGGTGACCGGGGTGCCGCACTTTTTGCGCGCCCACTGTTTGCACACCAATCAAACTGCGCCGCAGCGTATGAAAATCCAGCAAATGATCGCCGATGGGGAAATCGATATTCTTTTGGTCTCTCCAGAAGCAGTAGTTGCCGGGGAACGTGCCACAGGATTTGGAGCTATTCTTCGCCAGCTACCGCCCATTGCTTTCGCCTGTATTGATGAGGCGCATTGTGTGTCTCAGTGGAGTCACAACTTCCGTCCCAGCTACTTGATGATCTGCAAAGTACTGCGAAAAAATCTTGGGGTTCACACAGTGCTGGGACTTACGGCTACGGCCACTTTGCCAACGCGAGTGAGCATCATCAAACATCTGGGCATTGTGGATGGAGAACGAGGTGTTATTAGTGACATCCCATTACCAGACAATCTGGTTTTGTCCATTTCCAAGGATCAAAACCGTGATGCGGCGCTGCTCCAACTACTCAACAGCGAACGGTAAGGAATAACTAAGGCAAAAGTTTAAATTTTGAAACTTATTTTTATATGATTTCAGCTTTGAACCCTGCCAATCCATAATCATCTACTGCACACGACGTGACGAGTGTGAGCGAATCGCTGGCTTTATTAGAACATGCGTCCAAGACCGTAGGCAGCCGGCCCAGGATACTGGCAAGAAACGAAAGCGCATAAACTGGCAAGCCGAGCCGTATCATGCTGGAATGCCCGCTTCCAGGCGGCGCACCGTTCAGAAGGCCTTCATGGCCAACGAGCTGCGTATTGTGGTGGCCACCATTGCCTTTGGCATGGGCATTAACAAGCCGGACATAAGAGCTGTGATTCACTACAATATGCCGCGGAATTTTGAGAGCTATGTGCAGGAAATTGGTCGAGCAGGGCGCGACGGATTGACATCTCACTGTCATCTTTTCTTGGATGCAAAGGGTGGAGACCAGAGTGAGCTGCGACGGCATGTGTATGCCAACTCTATTGATCGACATGTGATTCGCAAGCTGCTGCAGAAGATTTTCGTGCCATGCAGCTGCGACAAAGATGCCTCCAAGAGGCCTGAACTTCCGATTCCCCTTGAGGGCGACGGTCCGAGGGCGCATGTGTGTCCAGGTCACGAGATCGGCTTCTCTGTAGAGAAAACCGTTGAGATGCTGGACATTCCAGCGGAGAATATATCTACGTTGCTTTGCTACATGGAACTGGATCCCCGGTGGTGCATCAGTGTACTAAGCTCAGCATATGTGATGGCCAAAGTAATCTCCTACGGTGGACCCAAGTACCTAAAGTATGTTGAAATGTTTTCTATTATAAATTTAATTGAGAAATTGGGTTTTTCCTTTGTAGGCACGCTGCAAAAGAATGTCCGCCCTTGGCCATGGCTATTGCTTTGCAGATTAGGGACAAGACCTTCAAGGAGGACTCAAACATCATTGAGTTCTCGGTGACTGATATTGCCTCAGGAATTGGCTGGAACAGCGGTGTGGTCAAGTACCAACTGAAGGACCTAGAATGGGTAAAAGGTAAGAGAAATGAGACTTTAATAGTGCAATATATTTTTTATCGTAATCTATTGACAGTGAATGGATTCCCGAAGCGATCGCCCATTACGGTGAGCTTCTATGATTTAGGATTCCGTATCAAGGTGCCAGGGGACTTTACGGAATCAGAGATCGACAGCGCTCTGGATACTCTCTATACGCGTTCTGTGAAACAGGAGCGTACGCAGCTTATCCAACTACAGTATGTGGCCCACGGATTGGCGGCGGTGGCCTACAGCTCCTGCGGACAGTGCTGTAATGCCGACTTTCCGCAAGATCGTTGTGAGCAGCTAAAGGCTATTGTGCGTAACTACTTTGCTAATGACTACCCGCAGGATCTGGAACTGGAAGTGGAGGTAATTTCTTAGCAAAATAGTATCATTTTCCATTTTCCATTAATTTCTATCATTCACTTTTAGCCCAGCAACGTGTCCGATGAGGATATCACAGCAGACGTACACGCCCTGATCAATATGTATCCGGACAACACATTTAGTGGTCGAAACATTGCTCGAATCTTCCACGGTATCATGAGTCCAAATTATCCAGCCGTCATCTGGGGACGCTGTAAATTCTGGCGCGCCCACGTCAAGGTCGATTTCAACCGCATACTGCAACTGGCCAATATGGCTATTGTCAAGAGGCGAACCTAACTGGGATCAATGCCCGCTAGCGATTCTGAAATTTAGTTTTCTACGGCTAACTAACTAATAGCGAATTGAATTATGTGATGCCAAATTAAAACATTTTTCTTTTTTTCTTTTAAGTCTGATAAATATATATATAATCAAATATCTATTCCTAAATTTGTATACTTAATACTCCAGCAAACGGCAGTGTTCGTGAAAGGTTTAACATTTTAATAACTAGTTATTCCAATTAAACCAAATACCTTAAGTCATCGCAAACGTTAACATTGTTTCGCTTGAATTTAAACTCACACTATCCATCTATTTTATAGGCTAATGTATAATCCCACGCCAATGGAACAATAACAATTTATGATCATTGCCGAAAACAACTGAATATTTAGCTAAAGTAAACAAATGCCAAGCTCGTTTAGAGCCAAATTGCAGTTGAGGGTTTAAGAAAAAATCAAGAAATCAATTCGATCGAAACCGTAAAGAAACAAAAACCTGGCTGAGTCATTCCCAATAACATCACGAAATGGATAAATTCAACCGAAGGTGTCATCTTCAAATCACAGTCTAGCCAAAGGTCGTCCTTCCTCAGTTCACACGAACAACAAATGGGGGGAAACAACAACAACAGTCCACAGACAACAGAAAAAAATCATTGAAGTTGTCGGATCAGCGAAGCGTTTGATAAAGGTTTTTTATGACTCGGCCATTTTGTAAGGCCTTTGCCTTCTCGTGCCGTCGTTGTTTATGATTACTCGAGTACACAAAAGTCGACCCAATTACAACTTGTTTGTTCTGAGAGTGAGACATCAACGTCATCATCCTCGCTACATGATCATCGACTTTGTGCAGATGGTCAGCCAAATCCATTGAGCAGCGGCTGACCTTGCCTCCAATTTTACTCCAATTTCGAGGCATAAAAGCGAAAATCAATTTAAATGGTAGCCGGCAAAGCAAAAAAAAAAAAAAACACATAAATAAAGGAAAAACTAAAAGCAACGAACAACTTGAATTTCAAGTTGGGGCAACGGACCACATGACGTATGCTGAATATTCAACAATTGTTGACTGTCTAAAGAAAATGCCTTGAGATGGTAATCTTTCGTTAGGAGCTCAAGGAAAAGATGAGTTTTTAAAATTCGTTACTAGGTTATATCTAAAGCTCTGAACTAAATTTTACACCGCAGCCAAACAATTGATTTGAGAATTGCATAAGGAATGTGACATTCTTCTGCAGAATCCACTGATCTCTTATCTAGATCTTTACATAACTAGCATATATCTAAAAATTGTTTCCCCTCGCCTTACAAGCTTACAAGCAACAATTTTAGCACTTTGCTGACAATTTTTCTACCTGCTTAAGACCAGATTCTGTTGGCTAGTTGGCCAACTAGCCAAACGTTCGATTGAGTTCAACTAGCTAAAGGCTACCAGAGCTGACCCTGTTCGCACCTCGTTATGTTTCCACTGGCATTTGGCTGTGCTCCTTCATAAGTACTCTGGGTATCTGGGTAATGTAATCTCCTCTCGTTTTGTTCATGCCATTTTCTGTATGAAATTTCCCCTAAAGCGCTGTCTATCAGCATCATCATCATCCGCTGTGAACTTTGCAATCCGATCAGTTCGAGTTCAGATACTTTTGGCCTTCTAGTCAGTCTCTTTTATATTTTTGAATGGATCTGCCATTAATTTCAATCATCTCCAACAGCATTTGCCATCGTAGTTGTAATTGGTTTTACTATTTCAGCTTCTTTTGAATTTTGAGTATTTCTTGTCACTTTGGCTGGTGAATAATTTGCATGGACATCAAATGGCAATTCAATCACTGTTTCTTGGCATTCTCTTAGTACATTATTTTTAGCTATGACTTATTGGTGTTGTAAATCAAAATGGTATTGCAAGGCGCAGAATATTATGGGCCAAACTCGGGAAATCTTCAGATGTGTTTTAAGTTCTCTGAAAACATAAAATTCCTGAAAGATTTTTTTCCATTGTTTTTTCTTTTAATAGTTTTTAAGATTTATGCCTGTCAGCCGTTCATGAAAAACCTATTTAATGTATCTTATCTGACATTTATTAAGAGTTTTGGTCAAGAAAAAAAAAGGTAATTCTCACACTACTTTAAAATATCTTCGAATAAAGTAAGCACAAATTTCTGCAAATCAAGTCGCCTAAAAGTCAGTTGATCGAATGACTGGCACGTAACCGAAAAAGGGAGGAAAAATATCAATCAACGTTGGCCAACCAAAGTGCGGCCAAAACGTACTCCACTAATCCGAAAGTGACAAAACAATTTGGCAAAACAAAGGCAAATTCGCTTTTGACCCATATGCGGCAGATTCTGCACTCCGTTAAGCAAAACAATTCAATGGAGGAGCTTTGGCATCGGTTTGATTACAAAACCCATCGACAATTTGCCACAATTTGTGGTGGAGTGAAACCTTTTAGCTTTTAGCTTAGATGATGTATGGTATTTGGGTATTTGAGAGAGTGAGTGGCTAGGAAGTGGAAGGGGTGGAGTTGCGCAAATCCAAGACAAAGACTGGCCTGGTGATGATGATAGATCATGGCGGCTTCTGGCGGATGTGGCATGTGCCATCCATAGGATGTTCTCCTCCGTTCGACTTGAAACTTGGACTGTTTAGCATATTCATTGTTGATTGCAGCGCCATGATAATTATCATTCCTCCAACTTCTACCGCTTTTGCTGTTCTGCCTTTAATTACCTTCCTTCTCTGGCTTAGCATAATTGCATTGTTGTTGCCGAAATCGTCATTAGAATTTTTATTTGCACAATAATCACCTCGCTTTGAAGTCATAAAAAACAGAGAACAACCCGAAACCGAACTGCATTGTTTTTGTGCAATGGCAGAGAATTTTTTTTTGGAGGGAGCAGCGAACTCCAAACCAGAACAATGAGAACTTAATGCGTTTATCCAAATGTTTGCGGTCTGTTTGCCAGTATTTTTTTTTATTGGGTGCTAGTGGGTGGTGGATGTTTCGTTACCGGCAGAGAACTGCAATTGACAAATGATGCTGGGGCTGGACCAAGTGATGAATGAACTGGTCGAGAGGATGCAGTCTTGAAAAGCCTTGAACTACTTGGCTTAGCCACATAAACACATCATGATTACGTTTTTTTGATAAAAATCCTAATTTTCTTAGTGATACGCTTGAGCTTAGCCGATTAATACTTCTATTAATGCAAAGTGACTTTATGGTCCACAAATCAAATATTAATAAAGTTTGAAAATATGCATATGATACCCTTAAAGAAATGAGAGTAACCACAAACAATAACCCACTTGTGGTTAAAAAACGATCAGTTAGAGGTCAACCCGTGCTGACCCTGATGTAATGCCATTAAAGGTAATCCAATTCTCCACACAAAAGATGACTCTGTGCGGGCGCATTAAAAAACATTTCTAAACTAATTTAATAAATTACAGCATTAGGCCCATTAAGACTGACAAAAGAATGGAAACGGAAAAGCTGAGAGAAAAATGCGTTTACTGTCATATCATATCGTTCATGGAGACGGGAAGCCGACATTTATAAGCCACATAATTACTTGATCATTGTTTTCGTCACGTATTAAACAATTTTCAGAAGAAGAAGCGTTACCGCCACCGCTCATGATGATGATTATGATGGATCTGCCCGCTGTGGACCTTCAAATGGGTAAAAGTCAAGGTTACACAGAGTAAATTACCACATGATCGTCGTGTGAAATAATTGAAAATTAATGGTGGGTGGTAGGAAACAAACAATTCTCAATTTCTGATCGATTAATTGTGCATTACCTATAAGACAATTGGGAAACGAAGCCTGCTTTTCAGTATAAGCGGGAAAAACAACGACCAACGCCTAATGATAATAAGTTATTTTTCAAGAAATCAATAAGCAACTCTTGCCCATTTTCAGTGGTCTGGTGCAGTGGTACTGGCGCTGATTAAGGGAATTTCTCACACAATCCAAAAGCCGAAACTCGCTCTCGAAAACCAAAAACTAAGCCACGAAAGACGTTTGGCAATGTCTGACAACTGCAAATGCTTTGCTTTTCTCGAAGGTGAACCAGAATGCAGCAGCCACGTCTCGGGGTCCCAGGTCTTGAGACTCCATCGATGTCTCAGCAATTGAAGCGCACTCAATGAACCGGATTGCCACCGTGCACATCTTTTGAAAGTGAGCGGCTCGGCTCAACGGCTGGGACTGCATCAATTCTAGAGCAAATGAATGTCTCTTGCTAACGGCAGCGATGGAAATTTATTGCAGCATTCTATTTTAATTAGTCTAATTTATGATAATTTTTCTTAAATCGAAATTGAATGCTATCAGAAGGTGGTGTAATAATCAGGAATTAGTTAAGCAATATCCTCTTGGGACTATACGATCTGGGAGGCTCCATCAATTACAATTATCAAGAAATTCTTAACAGATAAAATCAATTTCAAAAGTTTAGCACCACTAATATGGAAGTGTTGATGAATATTCTGTTCTACAAAGGGATAGTTATTTTAAACTTGAATAATAACTAAAATAAATAAGCGATAAAATAGGAGCTCCTGCCTCAAAATGATCTTTAAAATGCCTTTTTATGGTTCAATTAGGCTTAGGATTGCATAACTTTGTTTAATTTCACGCTTTCCACCCTATTTGTCCTAATTTGCATCGCCCCTTTCCGCATTTTTTTCGAAAACGTTTTCATCAATGCCAATCGAGTTCGTTGCCTAAGTCTTTCGTTTATCCGGCGTTAATGAACGAAAATTTCGCACTAACCGCGACAATTAAATGGAATTGCTGTTGAGTTGGCCAAGTGGCATCATCAATAAGCTGAAATTTGCACTAATTTTTTCGCAGCTTTGCGACAGAGCCAAACAAACATCAACAAACCGCGAAATCAAAACAAAAGCCGACCGCGGATTTTAGTGTGTGAGTGTGTGTGTGTGTAAGAGTGTTTGGTGTCCAAAAAAGTCCCCCGCACTCATGAATGAGAGAATAACTACGATTTGAAGAGCCGACCAGCCGAGCGAAGCATCAATAGACACGATGATTTAGTTTTTCCAGCTTCGTCTCTGTGTGGCGGCTCTGAGGTTGCTCTTTGGCAATTCCAACGATGACGCGGTGGATTTAGCCGCTGCCAGCCTCGCTCATCTG